TCTGAGAGTAAGTAAACGATGCCGAGGCACAAACAGACCATCACAGTCTGAAACAGACCATCACAGTCTGAAACAGACCATCACAGTCTGAAACAGACCATCACAGTCTGAAACAGACCATCACAGTCTGAAACAAACCATCACAGCCTGAAACAGACCATCACAGCCTGAAACAGACCATCACAGCCTGAAACAGACCAACACAGTCTGAAACAGACCAACACAGTCTGAAACAGACCATCACAGCCTGAAACAGACCATCACAGCCTGAAACAGACCATCACAGCCTGAAACAGACCAACACAGTCTGAAACAGACCAACACAGTCTGAAACAGACCATCACAGCCTGAAACAGACCATCACAGTCTGAAACAGACCATCACAGTCTGAAACAGGCCATCACAGCCTGAAACAGACCATCACAGTCTGAAACAGACCAACACAGTCTGAAACAGACCATCACAGTCTGAAACAGACCATCACAGTCTGAAACAGACCAACACAGTCTGAAACAGACCAACACAGTCTGAAACAGACCATCACAGCCTGAAACAGACCATCACAGTCTGAAACAGACCATCACAGTCTGAAGCAGACCAACACAGCCTGAAACAGACCAACACAGTCTGAAGTGAGTGGTAGAGTGTGGTGTGACCAGGGGATCTGACTGACTCTAGGAGAGGGGCGAGATGGAGATACAATCAGACTGGTACTGGTACCAGCGGAACTGGAACTCTACACTCCCTGTTGAAGATAGGGATGCAGCGCTGATGTGAGTGTACTGGTTGCTATGATGTAGTTTCTCAACTCATAATTCACTCTTTTTCCTTTTACTTGCGATGGCTTCCCTGACTCACACCGACACAGGAGTTCTTGTGATAAAATTGGCCTTTTCTGTAAAGTTCCTCACTAGTTCCATACAACTCCGAGTGTCATGTTGGCTCATAGGGCCAGTATTGTGAGGTTTGTACGCACAGCTCACATGACAATAATCTGACAGGGATGGGGTAGGGCATGCTTGTTTGGGCTCAAAGAGGGAGAACAAAAAGAGGAGGAGTAGAAGTCAAGTAAAAGAAATAGAAGAAGCAGTAGCAGCGAAGAAGAAGAAGAAGAAACAAACAGAAGAAGTTAAAGAAGTTGAAATCATCTAGACATCCCGCCTCCCCCACCACTACATCTTATAAAGATCAAGTCTAAAATGTTCTGTCTAAAAACACATCTAGTCCAAGTAGCTTCCTCCCAGAAAAAAAAAAAACGCCTAAACAAAATTGAAATGGAATGCAATTCTAACTTTTATTACAGAAGCTAAACAAATACAGTCAAGTTGACAATAAATGCAGTGACAGCAAACAAAGAAGGCAATAAATAGATGAGAGGATCACATGAAGCCGTATGACACCAATTACCAGCAAAGAAAACATATCATTATTCTTTCCGTCATTTGGTTAACTTCCAAAACCGATCTCTTTAAAATTCATTTCCTATTCTATTAATTTTTAAGTGTACATTTCCTATCCTAATAATTTTTAAGTGTAAACTGTTAAAAAAAAACCATCCAAATTCTATTCCACAAATTATTTCTTGTTTAAATTTAGTTTCTCTCATTGAATGAACGAATCAATCAATCAAACAATAACTGACATCACTGCACTTGGGACATTCCCACATGTGCTCCATCCCCTTCTTCAGTAGCCAATGAAGAGTCCAGATGCTAACAGTACCAGCTGCAACCTGAATAGAAAAGGTCTGCCTCTGTTTTCCTCTCAATGTTAAATATCTTCCAGACTACACACCCCCCGTTGAATTAGTCCCAGACTCTCCACACACCCCCCCGTTGAATTAGTCTATCAGCGTATGAATTCTCTATCTGTTCTATTGCACTGTCAATTTGGTCCCAGAGAGCCTCTCATTAAAATCCTGAACTTCAAAACTTCCCACTCTACATTGCTAACACTCATATCCTACAATATTAACTTAATTTTACCTTTCTAAAATTCAGATCTTAACTAATGTTTATATTCTATTTTGTTAAAAACCAGATTCTGGCTCATTTTCAGGCTCCCTTCCGTTAATCTTTTCACCCATTCTGTTAACATCAAGATTATATTCGGTTAACCTTTTTTAATATTAGCATGGATATGGGTTTGTTAACTTCCAGATATTTATTTAACATGAATATCCAAATCCTTTCCTGCTGAAATCCAGATGTCATTCTGTTAAATTCCAAAGGTCATTTAATGTTTTCTATTTCCAATGCTGCTCACACCCGGCTTCTATCAGGCCAACTTTCAATTCCTATCCGCTATTCCAAACATTTGATAGATTTTGCCAGTTAAAAACATCTACATGTGCACAAAAAGATACCAGCTATCTCCTGGATTTAATAAAATCAATAAATAGTATGCGCACAAATGCGTAAACATGAACACTGCATCTACAACAGCATACACAATGCTCAAATACATGTATGTAGGGTAGATTCACTGCTGTCGAAGCCAAAAGACAAGATTCATGAAAGAACGGAAAAGCAAAGCACTGAATAAAAGCTCTAGATTACATGAATGTAAAGATGACAGTGTAATTAAAATGGAAGGCAAAGTTCAGACCTGAGGGTATTTTGAATATTGTTTAATACTCTGGTGAAAAAAAAAAATTTTAATTTTGCTCTGAACTGAAATGTTTTCTCGTTTCTGATATACAAATACAGTAGACAATGCTGAAAGTTCAGTTTGTCCCTTTATAAAGGTTATTTTAGTCCCCAATTTCTTATTATCTTCTTTTACTCAGTTCTAAAACTCCTCTTTCTGTCTATAATAGTTAACCTAACAATTTCAGGGAGTTTTTACATGAATTTATGCTTACATAGTGTTTTACCAATCTTCCATTAAGATCTTTAAAAAGATATTTTATACAGCCCTTGCCAATCAAGAATATTTAATTGTTAAACCTCAGTCCAAGTTTTAATGTAACAATCTCACAACCAGAAATCTGTAATCACAAAACATCAACTGTTCAACATTAAGAGAAACGAAACAAAACTTGCACAATTAACAGAGCTGTGTTCTCTTAATCACGCTGCAGTGGACAGTTGGAGGTGTCACTCCAGCTGCTGACGCAAACTGAAAAAGTCGAAACTGATGAATAAGAGAAACGTCCTGTACCACTTCCATTCAACCACAAACAAGTATCAACGACATTTGTTTTAATAACATCGAAAATGTGATTCCATATTATTCACATCAGATGACAGAGATGGAACTACTGAGTGGGGGGGACCTCAGTCGCTAACTTCTAAAAAATAAAAATTGGAGCACACAATTTATAATAATGAAAAAGCAGCCACAATTAGTAATTTTTATAACGAAATTGGCAATCCTTTTTCATTATTAGTTAACGAAAGGATGAGTCACTGTTCATTAATTTATAATCAAGGGATATTTATGAAAACTTATTTAATAACGAAACAGATGGTTGTCAATTATTATGTGATAACAAGAGGGAGTCAAAAGCCCTGAGAATACCATAATGAAATGGATTCCAAATTCATCATCATCATCATCAAGTTGATCAATCCACGTGCTGGAACTGCAACCATTAACGCCTGATTCACCACAGGACGAGGATGCTATCTGAGCCTGCTAAAACCTCTTATCTCTGCAGCTTCCAAAATTTTTTTTTTTACTAATCTGCCAACTGTCCACAATTTACTAATGTATATCAGGATAAGATTTGTAAAGTTTTTTATGTAGGATTTAAATTCCATAAACATCTTGGATAATTAAAAAAAAAAAAAAAAAAAAAAAAAAAAAAAAAAAAAAAAGATAACCAGATCAATTCACGATACAGAACTTTTTAAAAAGAGAATACGTATATATCATTGTTCCCAGGTTATGCCATTTTACAATAAGGAAAGCATATGTTATGGAACATTTTTATCACATGACAATGTCGTGACATTTTCTTGATTGAACACAATGGGAAAGTATTTTTCAAAAAGTTATGCTTATACTCGGATCAAATTTTCTTGATTGAACACAATGGAAAAGTATTTTTTTTCAAAAAGTTATGCTTATACTCTGCTCAAATTTTCTTGATTGAACTAACTGCAGAAACATCAAAAAACAGTTATATTGATATTCTGATCAACCAGACACCAAAGCACTGCAAAAACTCAGAACTGTAAACGTCTGTCTATAATTTATCTTGGTAAAAGAAAGCGGGTGTCAGAGAGTAAACAAGTCACGGTATTAAAATTATTTAACCTCAGAAAGAGGTAACTAATTCTCTACTGCATTCATTGTTACCCATTTCATCAGTGTGAATATATTTGTTTGTTTACCCATGAAACTGGAATTGTTAGGAATGTTTTTGTGAGCCGTGTAAAATGGGTTTTAAAAAAAATTCTTTACAGGAATCATTGTTTTGTTTTTCTAGTTCAGCCGGGTGAAATGGTTAATTAAGAGAAGATCAGAATGAATGTTCTTTACAGCTGAATTTAATTTGGAGATGATAAATATTATTTTGTTAATGGTAAGATGATTAAATTTAGAGATAAACACCATTTTTTTTAATAAAGAAATTTCGAGAAAATAAACATTTATGTTGTGAATAGTAGAACAATTTAAATTGAAGAAGATAACCATTTATATTGTTAACATTTCCATTTGGGAGAAGGTAAACATGTAAACTGTTAACACTAAATTATCAATTCTGTAGATAAACATTTATGTTTTGAACAGATGAATATTTCAATCTAATAGAAGATAAGCACTGATGTTGAATACATTAGAATTCACGTATCCATAAATGGAACAAAGAAAGCTACATCGAATTATAATTTTAGTCAGGAATTGACCAAAGAAAGCAGCATCAACTAAACTTATCTGAAAGGAAAGCTAAAAGAACACTTAATGCTGCCACAAGACATACAGCAGCTACGCTATACAGCATAAATATGAATAATTATTTCCCATATAAAGTTAGATCTCTGGCCCATCTCTTAGTTGACAAACAGTTGATGGGTGAAGCTGACGTAGTCGTATGAATCCGGTATAGGCTTGCCAGTTTTGTCCACGTATGGCTTCATTCGACTGATGCAGTAGTCTGCTTGTTCTTTTGTGAGGTTCTGTGAAAGATGAATAAAGAACATTTAACAAAAGGCGAGTTCAGTAACTAGCTTAATACAACTTAAAAGGATGTGGAGATGACTGACTTTACTGTACCGGGTATCATCCCATGTGGCCTGTGCCCAACATGGTTTGTGTTGTGAGCTGAAGAATCAGAAAATGTTGAGTGAACAGTTCTCACAGAACTGGTGGTGCCTTATTTCACTAAAGGCGAGTGAAACTACTGCATTGTTGTAACAGCTGCTTATACCATCAATGAACTGCAGGTCTAGCGACGGACTATTTGTATTGGCACTTCTGACGGCTGCCTTATGCACTTAATGCATGTATATACCATAGACTTTGCAGTCTGTGCCAATTTTCTCATAAGGGACACAATGGGCATTTTGTGTAGCGTTTGTTGTGCATCTACAGAATTGTTGGAATAGCTGCTTACAGCAACAATGAACTACATTCTAGTGCTGGACTATTTGTACCGGCACTTCTGATGGCTGCCTGATGTATTCAATGTGCGTGCTACTGGCTTTGTCAGTAATGGAGCATGTGCCAATTTTTCCACAAGAAACACTGATGTGCATTCTGTTTTTGTTTGCACAGGAATGCAGCGACTATGAGTCGACCCACTTGATATGAAGTTGGAACTGCAATTACCTAATTCTAAATGGCTTGGCTCCCACTGTACTGTATAAGTTGATCTTTATTTTTTTTGTAAAACTGTTGATAACTGCTGCTTTAAAAACAAACGCAAGGCCAGAAACTTACCGCGTACAACTCCTGTGCAGTAATGTACGGTTTCTCCCCGGAGGTGAGAGCTCTGAAGGCTTGCTCCACCTCGGAGCTGGACTGTACGTTCTCCGTTTCTCTGCTGATCATGAATGCCATGTATTCTTGTAGCGACACAAATCCATCCCTGTGGAGTGATAGCAGCGAGATATTACATTCCATGATATATTCACAAGATTATCTTGAAGTGATAAGGGGAAGAAATGATATATTCACAAGATTCTCTTGAAGTGATAAGGGGAAGAAATGATATATTCACAAGATTCTCTTGAAGTGATGTGGGGAGAAATGATAAATTCACAAGATTCTCTTGAAGTGATGTGGGAAGAAAGAAATGAAAGAAATGATGATTCATAAGATTCTCTTGAAGTGATGTGGAAAGAAATGATATATTCACAAGATTCTCTTGAAGTGATGTGGAAAGAAATGATATATTCACAAGATTCTCTTGAAGTGATGTGGAAAGAAATGATATATTCACAAGATTCTCTTGAAGTGATGTGGGAAGAAATGATATATTCACAAGATTCTCTTGAAGTAATGTGGAAAGAAATTATATATTCACAAGATTCTCTTGAAGTAATGTGGAAAGAAATGATATATTCACAAGATTCTCTTGAAGTGATGTGGAAAGAAATGATATATTCACAAGATTCTCTTGAAGTGATGTGGAAAGAAATGATATATTCCCAAGATTCTCTTGAAGTGATGTGGAAAGAAATGATATATTCACAAGATTCTCTTGAAGTGATGTGGAAAGAAATGATATATTCACAAGATTCTCTTGAAGTGATAAGGGGAAGAAATGATATATTCCCAAGATTCTCTTGAAGTGATAAGGGAAAGAAATGATATATTCACAAGATTCTTTTGAAGTGATGTGGGAAGGAGATTCTCTTGAGGATGTGGGAAGAAATTTTTATTCACATGATGTGGGAATAGGGAAGTGATGGCATGATTAAGTGATGGGTATTTGGATATTTTCTCCAGGTCATGCCGATGTGTTGGGAAATGATCAGTCAGACAGACTGGCTGGCTCGGCATCACTTGGTGGTGAATTGGTGTATGACAAGCTAGCTATTGTGAGAGCCCTTTGGGGTGAGTAAACAATGATGCACAGATAGATCATTATGGTCTAGGTCTAAGGAGAATAGCGCTGCGAGGAGTTACCAGGGGATCTGGCTGGCTGACTACACTCAGGGGAAAAGGTGAAACGGATATACAATCAAGCAGTTACTGGTACCATCGGAACTGGATACTTTGCTTGCTTCTGAAGATGGGGACGAAGCGCTTATGGGAATGTCCCATGTGTTATGATGATGGTTCTTAATTTAACATTCTTAAGTGATGGGGTAGATAAATGATTTTCACAAGATTCTCTCGAACTGAAAAGGGACAGAGATGATACATGAGATCATATATATTTATAAAAACTTAAATATATAAAAAAAGATTCTTTTGAAACAACTGGTAATAGAGATGATACTTGGAGATATTATCTGGAAGATATTATGGTTCATTCAGATACTTAAAAATACACCTGGGTGATGACAACAATTCTGATAAGGGTGACAGTGAATGTGGTGGTGGTGCTGACAGTAGTGGTTATGGTGACAGTGAATGTAGTTGTGATGATGTGGCTATGATAGAATGATGATGATGACAATGGCGGTGATGATGTGGCTATTGATGATGATGATGATGGCGTAGATGAAGTTAAGGAAGCTGATGATGACAGCTATGATTACAAACAGCTAGGCCTTACCTGTTTGGATCGACAACATCTAAGATAGCCTGGAACTCTGGATCCACCTGTCCCTCCTCCACCATAGGCAGGTCATAGCCTAAAGCTCTCAGACAGGACTTGAACTCTTGATGATCCAGCTTGCCACTCTTGTCCTTGTCAAAGTGCCTGCAGATGGACAAAGTCTCAACTTAACATCAATCACCAGGAAACAAAGGAGAGGGATGTAGAGCACAGTAGAACAAAAACAAGACAGAAAATAACATCAAAGAAACTCCACAACAGAACAATGTATTCGTGGTCAAGGTAGCCAGAAAAGCAAGAAGCAGAACCTAATTATGTCTCGCGACAACTGAAGCGGTCAAAGAGGAAATAAGGAAGAAAAGGCAGCAAATAGATTCGTACAAACTTTGTGATATCAATGCCAAACATCGACAGTCCTAGGAAAACACAACTGCAAAATTAAAGTGGTGTCAGGACAGGAAGAGATCTGTGGAACGGGTCCTTGTGATCGCTTCATATAAAGTACTTTTCAGTATCTCTGATATTTCTGCGGTCCATGTTCTGTGCGGTCGACCTCTGGCTCTGTTACCGCTGCATCTGTATAAAAATGCTCTCTGTGGTACCCTGTTTGCTGCTAGTCTTGTTACATGACCAAACCATTTCATTTGTTGCCTCCTGATATCATAATTCCTAAGTCAATCTTTCCTGGTTACACCTAGAAAAGTATGTAAACATTTCATTTCTGTCGTGACTATTTTCCTTGTCTTCTGAAGACAGCGTCCATGTTTGACATTGATACCATAGCCTTGGTAAGAATATTGTGTTGAACAGTGTTCTTTTAGTGTTTATATTCACATGCTTGCATTTAAAAATTGATGCCATTTGGCCTAAAACTTGATTGGCTTTATTGCATGTTTGTTAGATTTCTTTATTCTTCCATCTTCCAAAAAAAATGCTCCCCAGATGTGTAACATCCTTCGCCTGCTTTACAGGGTGTTCATCTTTTTTTGATATTGGTCGTTCTTCCTTTTCCCGCAGAATAGTTTAATTATAAACAAACATAGTTTGTTTATTTATTAAATGGATCAAAATCATGGCACACAGGTGCAACCCACAAGTGCTCCGTTCTACTTCAAACTCAAGCCTGAGTCTGAAGAATCTCAGCGCAGTGCACAAACTCTGTTGCACCGGCGAGGATCCTGAAAATATTTTGGGTAGATTTTTAACTCAAAATTTCATCTGGTCCGCACTCGGGGCGGACACCATACCTTTAGACCACTTAGCCCCCTCAAGCAAACAAACAGCATCTAGCTACTATACCACTGCTAAACCTGGGGTATATTAACAGCAGTAAATAAACAACACCAGAAATAAAATGAAGACTCACTTGAACATCATGGAGAACTCTCTCAGGGCATCCTCTGAGACACCGCTCCTGTTTCTGGCTTCGATCTGCTGCTCCAGGTTGTGCTGCATCCTCATGCACAGCTGGTCTAGCTGATCCCACTGCTGTGCCAGACCCACGGTGCTGTGTTCCGTGTACCTGCAAATTGCATTCCTTTTTAGAACATTGTAATGAAAAACCCAGTGTTCAGTCACCGGAAGCTGGGCCACTTGTAAATGGCTGCAGAAAATGTCTTATTATTATCCTGATTATCCAGATTATTATCTCTTTCAGTACCACAAAAGCTGTTACTTCATTCAATTCCTTATATAAGTCCAACTTAAAAATTAAATACTCAGGTTTGCATGGGATGTTAATTCTGAATTAGGTTTTTTAAAAGACCCCCCCCCCCCCCCCACTATTAATTTGAGTAAATTTAGTCGTCCCTAGTCACAGTTACGTTTAGGCAGACACAATCAATTCTGTCAACTAGATATCTCATAGATGGCGGCGGCGAAGTGAAAAGTCAACCTTTCTAAGAACCAACCACCCAGCAATATTTCACACGACTATCACATACCTGTTATCTAAGATCAGACGTTCCTCCATTGCAGCTCCAAGATCTTCAATCTTCTTTAATCCACTCTTCTGTGCTCTCACTTCTGTCGCTTTCCTCTATTTATTTGTCAAGGAAAACAAGCTCAAGATTAGAGAATGTATAACAGCATAGTTCAATTAACTAAATCAATTTTTTGTTTGTTTAAAAGTGTTCTTTCTATTCTGTTAGGTGAAGTTTATTAAATTTTTTGTTTTTAGGTTAAGTGGTGTTGCGACATTACAACAAAATAAAGAACCCCCTATCAAGTTGAAATATTCAAATATTTAGGGGTTATGTAACAGACATCGATTAAGAAGGGGATAGGGCTAATAAAAAGCTGCACCAACAAGAAACAATGAAAACTGCAAAGTATGCATCAGCTTTACAGACTTGTTAATGAGAGGCTTGGGAATCAGAGAACGTGACGATGGTGACTAGCAAGACCTGCTCACTTTAAAAAAAGTCTTTGGTAATTAAAGAATGTAATTTCAGGACCATTGTTGCTATCTCATGTATTAAACATGTTTCTTCTCTGACAGAAAGCGCTCAGCCTATCTGCAATCATTTTTCCCTTTTATCCCTTTACAGGAGCTACAGTTGGAACAGCTCTTGTGGTCACTGCAACTCACAAACTTCTCTACCACCAAAATGGAGATGAATCAGAAAAGACGAAGACAGATGACTTCTGACATCAGGAAAATGCAAAATCAGATGTTTGAGGAGGTCAGGTTATGAGGTATGGTACCCCTGGGAGGAGACAAAACCAAAATAGGTCTGTTTTTTTTTCCTTCTCTTGTCACATTTGGGCCTAGCAAGAGCAGTGGTGTAATCCACTGTTAAGAAAGAATGATCATCTAAGTCACCTGAAAGATATAAAGAAAACCCCACAACACTGGTTTCAGTGAAGTGACAAAAGAAAGAAGAAGGATGATATGAGGTGAGATGACCTAGCAGTTGTGACAACCAGAAAGATCAAGGATGTTAGAGACTGAGAAATGAATGCAGGAGATCAAATGCAAAATGAAACAGAATCGTTCTGTGGTAAAACTTAGGAACACAGAGGACAGATAGTTTTAAGGACGGGATCATTTGTGCCCCACAGCATGGTGATTGGTGAAACAGCCATAAGCATATGTAGACTGGCACCTGGGACAACAGATCACATCCTGCAAAACTGTCTACAACATATCAAGCTAAAAACTTCTGGCTAAGAGAAACATCTGTTGAAGCCAAACTTTGCATGTCACAAAGCGATTTGAAAAAGAGAGTGAAGTTCATACTAGAGACAAAACACTGAAGAAACAAATAATATATTTCAAGCGAACAAAAGAACTCCAAATGATTAGCCTATCCAATTTTCAGATTTTTTTTTTCTTCATCCTCTCTAAGAGCTGACCTTCTTTTTCGTCTTCACATTCACCAGCAGTAAACTCTGGTAGAAACTTCTGGTTGTTCGTCTTCACATTCACCAGCAGTAAACTCTGGTAGAAACTTCTGGTTGTTCGTCTTCACATTCACCAGCAGTAAACTCTGGTAGAAACTTCTGGTTGTTTGTCTTCACATTCACCAGCAGTAAACTCTGGTAGAAACTTCTGGTTGTTCGTCTTCACATTCACCAGCAGTAAACTCTGGTAGAAACTTCTGGTTGTTCGTCTTCACATTCACCAGCAGAAAACTCTGGTAGAAACTTCTGGTTGTTTGTCTTCACATTCACCAGCAGTAAACTCTGGTAGAAACTTCTGGTTGTTCGTCTTCACATTCACCAGCAGAAAACTCTGGCAGAAACTTGTGGTTGTTCGTTTACTTCTGGACTTTGATCGTGTTCCAGAACCAGATTTGTGCGTGCACATCCGTTTTACAGATCTGACTGTTGGTTCCTCCTCTCAGGCAGATGCACTGACTTTGATGGAATTAGCCCTAATTACTCTGCTTTAACAATGTGCTTGTTAGCTGCCAGCGGATCTACCCCCCATCCCTCCCCCCCCCCCCCACCCCCCGGGGGGTCTTTGAACCGACATGGAGAGAGAGAGCTGAACAATACTTGGGAATGCATTCACAAAACATTCAAATAATCCTACCCTGGTGGCATCCAATTGTTCTTCCAGCGTGCCAGAACCTTCCATCAGAGCAGACCTGTGGCCAGAAAACAGACATGGTCAAACATGTAAACAAATGAATAGTGCTAGTGCAGCCAGAAAATAAGTGTTAAGATGCCACCATGTTTCCCCCCAAAATAAGACTAAGTCTTACATTAATTTCTGCACCAAAATTAGAATAAGACTGGGTCTAATATTCATTTCTGCTTCCCCTCAAAAAATGAATCAGGGCTTATTTCAAGTGATGTCTAGTTTTTTTTTTTTTCTTCTCAAGATACAAAAATCAACCCAACATTTATTGAAATACAGTCTGGTCATCTTGTTGAATTATGAACCATTTCTTTTATTATCAAGTGCGCACCAGTGGCATCTGTACTCCAAGTGATCATTCAGCAGCATGCCTATCATTCTAGCCTACAATCTTAATTAATTAAGGCTTATTTTTGGGGTAGGGCTCATATTAAAAGTAACTGAAAATAGTGCTAGGGCTATTTTTGGGGTAAGTCTTATTTTCAGAGAAACACTGTAAAACAGAACCTATTCTGTGTAGGTTATATACGACAGAACCCAGACTGAAGCCTCTCAAATGTTACAACATTTGTGTACCCAGATAAAAACAGATAAATGATTCTTCTACTTTATCTTTTACCACTTCATGTCTCGAGGGAGACATTAGGTTCTGCCTCTGCCTCTCCTGACCACCTCGACCACTGGTACTGTTGTCGAGATTCGCTGTGCAATTTTTTTTCAAGACTCCGTTTCTTATTTCCTCTATCCTGTTACTCCGGCCGCCTTTTCCAGATATCTAATTTCCATGGTAAAAATGTTTTTTCTTTCTTTTTTTTTTTTTCAACTGAACGTTCATTCGTTATAAGTTGAAGAAAAGACAAGTAGACTATGCTAAATCTTATTTCTAGTGAAGCTTCAGCTATAGTTATAGTCTTCTTTGTATCTTTCTTGATTTGTTCTTTGCGACAGTTGTCTTCAGACCAACCGCCTACATGACAGGCACGTCACAGGAGGCGACTAATTAGGGGTGTTTCCTTCAAAGTTGGAGTGCACCTGCTTGAGGCAGAAAACCAACAGTCAGCACATAAAACTCAAGTCTGGAACAAAAAGCTGCAGGAAGATGAGTTAAAAATCGCCTTTACGTCTTGTTCCAGAACTTGAGTTTGTGTGCACATCTGTTTTACAGATGTGTATTTTACATTGTTGGTTTCTCACCTCTCACTCCAACTTCGAAGGAAACACCCCTAATTAGTTTCCTTTCATGACATGCATGTTAGAGCAGCAGGGGATCTATTCCCCCCCCCCCCCTCCCCCACAATAGGGCACCAAATCGAATGTAGCAAGGTGGACTGTACTGAACTGAAAGCTTAAGTTTTTTTGTGTTTTTTTAAACAAACTTTGATGGAAATCTGAACCAATGATCACAAGCCAGTAGATAAGTGTGCTAGCCACTGTACCATTCATTCTTCCATATCTTCTTCACTTCCTCTTTTCCCGCTAGCTGTCCAAATACAATAAACTACAATACTACCATATGCTAGTTATAAACCCTACCTGGTCTGTGTCAGCCATGCATGGAAGGCATTAGCAGCCTGGGCAAACTGTTTCCTCAACACATCGTTCTCCTCCTGACGGCGCTCCTCCTTGTCCAGATCACTGTCCCGTTCCTGCAATACACAAACAACATACAGAATTAACAAGGGCACCACTTTATCTGACAGGCACAATGTGTCATGCAATACACTCGAGTACAGGCAACAAATCAGCAGATTAAATAGTTCAGACATGTAGTAAGACTGCAACAGGACACAAAAAGTTATGGTTGTTCATCCACCTTCGGACTTTAGTCGCGCTCCAGAACCCGAGTGTTGCAAGCACATCCGTTTTACAAATCTGGCTTATCTGTGATAGATGAGGTGTCCTCTGTGACAGATTAGTTCATCTTTTTGCAGTTTTCAGCTATATCATTTTTCCATATCTTTCTTGGTCTTCCCCTTATCAGCTCCCCACCCCCCAAAGATATTCTGCTGTTAAAAAAAAAAAATCTCATGCAGTTTGGTCTGAGAAATTCTCCTCCTGTAGTCTATGAGAGAAGATGAAGTATTTAAGGGGATATCAGTATGCAAAGAAAGTGATCACTGACAATCAGCACACACACATTGAGTGAGAGTAAGAGTGAGTGGAGTGGAGTGAGTGTGGAGTGAGTGAGTGTGGAGCGGTGTGGAGCGGTGCAGAGAGAGAGAGAGAGAGAGAGAGAGAGAGAGAGAGAGAGAGAGAGAGAGAGAGAGAGAGAGAGAGAGAGAGAGAGAGAGAGAGAGAGAGAGAGAGAGACTGAGACTGACACGAACACACACACAAAATAATAATAATAATAATCTTGCACTGACTGTAATCTCCTACTCACCCTTATAATCTTCTGTAGATTGTTCCAGGTCTCCTCCAGAGCCTCCATGGTGAACCAGGTATAAGGGTTGGGTCCCACCTTGAAGCTTTTAATCTGGGCATCCAGGGACTCCAGACCTTTGAAGTCAGCCTTGGCAGCACTCAGGGATGCCTTGAACTGTTCATGGGCTTCTCTCAGAGCCTGGTGATCAGACACAAGTTACAAGTTATACAGTAATAGTCCCTTTACATGCCAGCAGATAATCGGGCATATCAGGCTGCTCAAATTTCTATAGACCAACTAGCCCTCAATAGGTGATATGGTAAAAATCACGAAGGTCGCCTTTACTTTCCAGTACTTTACCTGGTACCCATTTAAGGCTGGTTTGAGATATCTGAAAAAATCCTGCACCGTATAGCAAGCATCTAACCATTACACAAAGAGCAGCTCTTGTGGTTGTATGTTGTGGATACAATACATGAGTTGTTTCCAACCTTTCTGACTTGCAGAGCCCTTTTTAGAATCTTTTTCGGTATTCTTCTTAGCATTGTCTGGATGCTCCAGTGGAAAGTTCAGGTTGTTCATCCCTTTCTGGACTTGAGTCTTGTTCCAGAACATAACTTGTATACAGACTGCTGTTTCCCCACCCCTCTGGTGCATTCCACTTCATCAGTCAGCTTTCATGACATGCCTGTTAGGAAGGCAGCGGGCGTGCTCCCATCCCCCACGGGGTCCCAATACAGGGCCTTTTTATAATCAATTTCCATGGTGGAGGCCCTAATGTCTACCCTACCCCATGTTAATGATGTTTACTAGTAATGTTAACAGAGGGATTATATTGCAAGGAAATGTAAAGAATAACTAAACAAATGCGAAACTTTCATGCTATGAAATTACACTATACAGTCTTTGAAATTTACCATAACAGTTAATTTATTCTCAAATACGACCAGTATATTGTCAACACTTGGCCATACATAAAAGTTCATCTAAAATCAGTAAATCAAACCGTTTGCATTCAAAAAAAATTTTTTTTACACTGTTGGAGAACCAAAATAAGGCTTTCTCGGACAAGAACTCAAACAAGAGGCGCAAACATTTTTGTTCAGAATGTAATTTCTAGCTTTATTAATCTGATTCTACTTTTTGTGCTTCAAATTCATTCTTCTCCCGCATTTATCCGAAAGTGTTAGGACACTGTGTCTGTTTACAACATAGCTGTCAAATGTTTCTATATTTTCCTGGAACGTGTAATGTGAACCCCTGGGAAATTCATGCGCAGCCTTAGGGCTCCAGGAGGCACAAGTTTAGAACCACTGCAACAGATTACAACAACACATCAGTGCCAGAATATTTTCTTCTTTTTTTTTAAAGTCTATGCCATGTGGCGCTGGTAAACATCTCTATCCACAACTTTCTGTCTCATGTGCTGTTGTTAGTCTTTGTGATCCAGATATTCTTCCATATCATGATGCAAAATTGCAGCTGTCCCTGTCTTGTTTTCTCTTTCTTCTTTGTTCACCCCAAAAAGATGGTTGGTACACTGAGTTGAGGGTAACAGCTTGGTTGCGAAATCTGTGGCTTTCAGCCCAACACATTCATTTCAGCAAGCCCTTAATAAGTTGTCTTTCATGACATGCTTTTCCTGTGCGGGTTCCAGGGCCCCATTGAGATTTGGGTGGGGGAAGGACTGAATATGCTTGAAAGATGAAGAAACCAACAGTCTGCATACAAATAAGCCAAAGAAGAAGAAGATGACATGCTTGTTAAGGGGCAGTGGTTCTATTCCCCCCCCCCCCCAAACGGGGCCCTGGAGCCCACATGTGGAGGAATGTCACGTCAATTCTTCAATCAATCAATCACAGATTTACCTTTATCTCCTCTATACTGTTGCATCTCACAGGATCGGTCAGATCCTCCTCTGCATTTTCAAACCAACTGTTGAAGGCTGAAGCCTTCTTGGCGAACGTCAAGTACAGGTCCTCAATCTGGCGATACTTGTCCTGCAGATGCAGCAGCTTCTGTTTTCTGTCCTCGGCGTCGGCCAGGAGTTTCTGCCAGCGAGACATCACAGCATTGTAGCGAGCTTCGATGGCAGGGGTCTGTTCATGCTTGCTGGAAACCAGTTGGTCTTTCAGGTTGGTGATTGTCTGGATGCCTTCCTTCTCAAATGCAGCAAGACCAGCTGAGAATGTTTCCTACAGAAAAAAAGAGTAAATAAATGTTTTATAGAAAGTTGTTTATTTTAGCTTGAAGTGAGTGTGTGCTTAAATGTGTGTTTGTGCTTTTATGTGCATGGGAAAAAGAAAGAGGAAGAGCACAGACAAAGACAGACAGACACAGCAGGTGTGTTTGAGAGACAGAGCAAGACAGACATACAAAACGTGACTTTTGAATCCAATCAATCTTGTGTTTCAGTTCGAAGGATTCCTTTATTTGCTTTATTTAAATCAACTGTTACTGAAGTATGCACTTGAGATGCAGCAAAATATGCCAGGCAATAAATTGTGTAATGTTTGTGCCTACTTTGCTCATACTGGGAGCTCCCAGGGTGCAGCAGCTAAAAGCTCACGTGCGGGTCCAAAGATCGAGGGTTCGAATCTCAATAGAACGGTACTTAAAAATTGACCAAGATTCTCAGGTCGACCATGCCCTGATGTTGACCACATCACTCGCCGAATGCCAATTAGTGTAAAAATTATATTTTTAGTACTATGTGCCCAATTAGTGTATAAATTATATGTTTAGTACTATATGCCCAATTAGTGCATAAATTATGTTTAGTACTATATGCCCAATTAGTGTATAAATTATATGTTTAGTATTGTATGCCCAATTAGTGTATAAATTATATGTTTAGTACCATTTGCCCAATTAGTGTATAAATTATATGTTTAGTACCATATGACCAATTAGTGTATAAATTATATGTTTAGTACTATGTGCCCAATTAGTGTATAAATTATATGTTTAGTACTATATGCCCAATTAATGTATAAATTATATGTTTAGTACTATATGCCCAATTAGTGTATAAATTATATGTTTAGTACTATATGACCAATTAGTGCATAAATTATATGTTTAGTACTATATGCCCAATTAGTGTATAAATTAAATGTTTAGTACTATATGCCCAATTAGTGTATAAATTAAATGTTTAGTACTATATGCCCAATTAGTGTATAAATTATATGTTTAGTACTATATGGCCAATATGCCTGAAGGCGTAGAAAGGGATCCTTTACTTTTGTTCATATACGGTACCCCTCTTTTTTTTTCAAAGGCTGGGTAAATCCACAGCCATTCTGATTAAGCAAGTTAGGGGGGGGGGGGGGGGATCACACTACCTGAAAAATATTACTTCAAAGGACTGTAACTCCACCATTGTACTGGCAAGCAAATCAAGTCTTGCAGAATGTAAAACTGCAGTGAAATAATAACATTAACAAAAGTATAAGGAGGTATTAAACAATTTACCTGTTTGGTCAGGAATGTCTGCACAGAGGACAGGTCTCTTCCATAATCTTCAGATCGAACTTGAGTCTCCTTGTCAGCTGTTGAAATGGGCAGCGGGGAAATGATGGAACAGAAAATTTACAACCTGGCAACCCAATTCTCTGTCATGGATACATACATGTACTTCTTTGCGTTCAAAGGCAGAAAGTTATGGTGGTTTGTCCACTTCTAGACTTTAGTCTTGTTCCAGCACCTGAGTTTTGCATGCACACATGTTTTACATATCTCACTTATTCATATACAGACTGTTTTTTCTCATCTCTCAGGCCAACTTGGGAAAAAACACCCTTAATTAGTCAACTTCTACGACATGCTTGTTCGCGGGCCAGTTGGTCTATTTTTTCCTCTGCACAATGTGGTCCAAGAACCCACACGGCAAAGACATGTAATTGATTAAAAAAAAAAATATAAAGTGGCAGTAAAGAACACATATTTATGTCATCCTTATTTATATACCTACATAGTAAATCCTGCAAATTCTAATTGACAAAATATAAAAAATTAGTTTGAGCCTGCATTTTATGCCTTCGTCCTGGAATCCCAGTACCCCCTCTCCGCCATGCTATAGTCAAATACAGTCCCTGCACAGAGGCAAACAGAACCAATGTCATTAACTAGGTTTGCTGGCGGACAGGCCAATGCAGAAATGCCTGTTTAGTGGCTTTTACAGACATAAATAACGGTTGACAATGCCGGATATTCAGGTGTCTTGAGTCAAAAGGGTAAATATCATGTATCTGCTGCCATGTAGGTCGACCAAGTCTCTTTCTAGGAACTTTTCTACCTTGAGCGCCTTCAGCTTCCCAATGTTTCCACTGACTCCCACTTCCTTCACTCTCTAGTTTAAGTACTTTCTGTTGTACAGAATGAAAATCACTAAGAACCCCCACTGCCCACATGTCAGCAGAACTCACCAATCCAGCTGTCCACCACATCAGTCTTCCACATGAACTGCAGGAAGGCAGAGTTGTCACTGAGATGGACTTTTCTCTTGGCAGCTGCTGCATCCAGCTCCCTCAGCCGCTCCTCTAGACCAGAGATCCGCTGACTGATACTGTCTTTGTTGTGGTTACCCTGTGATTTCATCAGTAAAATTTTATTACAAGTAACAGCCTCACAGATCACAGACTTACAAGTAACAACCTCACAGATCACACTTACAAGTAACAACCTCACAGATCACAGACTTACAAGTAACAACCTCACAGATCACAGACTTACAATTAACAACCTCACAGATCACAGACTTACAATTAACAACCTCACAGATCACAGACTTACAAGTAACAACCTCACAGATCACAGACTTACAAGTAACAACCTCACAGATCACACTTACAAGTAACAATCTCACAGATCACAGACTTACAAGTAACAACCTCACAGATCACAGACTTACAAGTAACAATCTCACAGATCACAGACTTACAAGTAACAACCTCACAGATCACAGACTTACAAGTAACAACCTCACAGATCACAGACTTACAAGTAACAACCTCACAGATCACAGACTTACAAATAACAACCTCACAGATCACAGACTTACAAGTAACAACCTCACAGATCACAGACTTACAAATAACAACCTCACAGATCACAGACTTACAAGTAACAACCTCACAGATCACAGACTTACAAATAACAACCTCACAGATCACAGACTTACAAGTAACAACCTCACAGATTACAGACTTACAAATAACAACCTCACAGATCACAGACTTACAAGTAACAACCTCACAGATCATAGACTTACAAATAACAACCTTACAGATCACAGACTTACAAGTAACAATCTCACAGATCACAGACTTACAGGAAACATAATAAACTTGCAGTTACATAAACAAACTCATAAAAAATACCACATGCTGAATAGGAATTGACATTACAGCGCTAGGGATATTCCAATAAGCGATTCGTTCCCATCTTCAGCATCAATTACAGAGTTCAAATTTTTATGGCACCAGTAAGTCTGACTGTATATCCATCTTGCCATTCCTTTGAGCGCTGAACATCAGCTAGATCCCCCGGTCATGTCTCGCAGCACCATTCTTCCCAGACCACGATGATTTATTTGTGCTATCGCACTGTTCATTCGTAAAGAATGTTCAGGTACAGGTAATAGATTTAACTTAACAAAAAACAAGACATAAGTAACAACCTAAATAAGACTTGGAGAGGAAAAACTCGTATACACAGTATCTGTCGCTGTATACCCAGTTACCTAACAACATATACCCAGTTCTCACAAGGCATACACCCAGTTACACGAAAGTATACATCCAGTTACCCCAAGACCCAGTTTCCTATTAGCCTAGACCCAGTTACCTATCAGAAAATACCCAGTTACCTGTCAGCCTAAACTCAAGTTTCCTATCAGCATAAATCAAGTTATCTGCTGGTATTTACTCTGCTGTTGATCAGAATATATCCAACTACTTATCAGTATATAACCCTAGTATGCCAGAAGGTCATGAAGATTATTTAAACTTACCTTCTCAATCAGGGTCTGGCCATCACGCTTGATCTCGGCGCACCTCTCCTTGTGAACCTGCAAGTCCGACTCGAAGGCTTCATGTTTCTTCAACAAGCCCTAATGTACATGAGATAAAACAGTTCATTTATAATACATTCACAAGGGCACAATTTCCCTAAATCAAAACAAAAAATCCATGTTAAAATGAATCTATGACCAGAAGAAAACCCTCTAAACTATTACTTGATTAATTCTAAACTATAAGCAAATTTATGGCGAAGCGGTCAAGCCATTTGCAAACTCACTCATTCTCACTCACCTGCACATATAGCGCGTGCGCGAGAGAGAGAGAGGGGGGGGGGAGAGAAAAAGGGGGAGAGAGGGAGAGAGTGGGAAGGGAGAGGGAGAGAGAGAGGGGGGATAGAGAGAGGGAGAGAGAGAGGGGAGAGGGGGGAGAAAAAGGGGGAGAGAGTGGGAGGGGAGAGAGAGAGAGAGAGAGAGGGGGAGGGGAGAGAGAGGGGGAGGGGAGAGAGAGAGAGAGAGAGAGAGAGAGAGAGAGAGAGAGAGAGGGGGAGAGAGGAGGGGAAATAGAGAGGGGGAGAGAGAGAAAGAGAGGGAAGAGAGGAGGGAGGGAGAGAGAGAGAGAGAAAGAGAGAGAGGGGGAGAGAGGAGGGGAAATAGAGAGGGGGGAGAGAGAGAAAGAAGGAGGGGAGAGGGAGAGAGAGAGAGAAGGGGAGGGAGGGAGAGAGAGGGGGGAGAGAGAAATAGGTAAGAGAGAGGGAGAGAAAGAAAGGGAGGGAGGGGGGAGAGAGAGAGGGATGGAGGGAGAGAAAAAGAGAGGGAGGGAGAGAGAGAGAGGGGAGAGAGAGAGAGAGAGAGAGAGAGAGAGAGAGAGAGAGAGAGAGAGAGAGAGAGAGAGAGAGAGAGAGAGAGAGAGAGAGAGGTAGAAGGAAACTTTTCAAGTTAAACAAGAATTTATCTAGCATGGTAGACAACAAGGCTGACAGAAGACAACTCCTATGCTAAACAGATCTCCACCCTCAAGGAGAAGACCCCCCAACATATGCCCTCACCTGTACGGCAGCCATGGTGTCACCCAAATCTCCTGTGGACAGCAGGTGCAGCTTTTCAGTGATCCAGGATTCTTCCTCTTCAACATTAGCACTGAACTGTTGGTAAGCATAGCTCTGATCCAGCTTGTCACCTCTGTATGGAGCACAGCAGACAAGTCAGTGACACAACATAGTGGACAGGTCAGTGACACAACATAGTGGACAGGTCAGTGACACAACATAGTGGACAAGTCAGTGACACAACATAGTGGACAGGTCAGTGACACAACATAGTGGACAGGTCAGTGACACAACATAGTGGACAGGTCAGTGACACAACATAGTGGACAGGTCAGTGACACAACATAGTGGACAGGTCAGTGACACAACATAGTGGACAGGTCAGTGACACAACATAGTGGACAGGTCAGTGACACAACATAGTGGACAGGTCAGTGACACTATACAGCAGACAAGTCAGTGACACAACATAGTGGACAGGTCAGTGACACAATATAGTGGACAGGTCAGTGACACAACATAGTGGACAGGTCAGTGACACAACATAGTGGACAGGTCAGTGACACAACATAGTGGACAGGTCAGTGACACAACATAGTGGACAGGTCAGTGACACAACATAGTGGACAGGTCAGTGACACAATATAGTGGGACAGGTCAGTGACACAACATAGTGGACAGGTCAGTGACACAACATAGTGGACAGGTCAGTGACACAACATAGTGGACAGGTCAGTGACACAATATAGTGGACAGGTCAGTGACACAATATAGTGGACAAGTCAGTGACACTATGTAGTGGACAGGTCAGTGACACAACATAGTGGACAGGTCAGTGACACAACATAGTGGACAGGTCAGTGACACTATGTAGTGGACAGGTCAGTGACACAACATAGTGGACAGGTCAGTGACACTATGTAGTGGACAGGTCAGTGACACAATATAGTGGACAAGTCAGTGACACAATATAGTGGACAGGTCAGTGACACAATATAGTGGACAGGTCAGTGACACAATATAGTGGACAGGTCAGTGATATAACAAGCATGTTTTATCTATACAGATGGTTCAGTGTGGAGAGGAAAGAGAAGTGCCTGGGGGTTCGTAGCAAAAGCCAATGGAAAATCTTTAGTGCAAGACACCACAACATCTAGCATGAGAATGGAGGTGGGGGGGGGGGGGGGGGGGGGGGGGGGTAACTGCAGCTCTCTGGTGGCTAGAGAACAAGATGCATACAAATGTCATAACAGACTCTGAAAGCATGCTGAAAAAGGTGAAGACAGGGATGCTTCGAGCAGAGTGGCAAGCTTCACTGGAAAGGTCACAGGTGGTGAGCATACTTTGGATCTTTTCTCCAGGCTAAGTCAGAGTGGTGAGTAACAAACAGGCAGACAGATTGGCTGGATCCGCACCACTGGGTGGTGAATTGATAAATGACAAGGCAGATGTGGTCAAGGCCCTTTGGGAACAAGCAACGGAATCAGTAGAGAAAGAAGATTATTATGGCCTGGAGAGAATGAGGCACCTGGGTGTAACCAGAGGGTCTGGCCGGCTCACTACACTCAGAGGAAAGGCAAGACGGACTTTTAACCAGATTGTGACCGGTACCATCAGTATCGGAACTCTGCGCTGGCTGCTGAAGATGAGGACCGAGCATGCACGGGAATGCCCTGAGTGCTGGGATGTCAATTCTCAACTTAACTCAACTTGGCGGTGTGATAAGAAGGCACAAAGTTTACAACCAGACAATACGTAATAATCTTGAAACACAGCCTTCAAAAACTTGAGTGGATCAGTCACAGCTACAATGGTTTGCACATGTATGCAGAATGTGAGAGAATCAGCCACCACTGCAGACATGGGAGGCCAAGAACCAGGGAACCAGACCAGCAGAACCACCCAGGGTGCGCTGGGAAGACAACATCCGACAGTCCCTGACTGACAGAGGACTGGAATGGAATAAAGCCAAAAAAGAAAACTTCTGATAAAGAAGTCTGGCGATCTCTCTGGCAATGTTTACGGAAGAAGATCGACTAAGTGAGTTTCTGGAGCTTTTATAGTAGTTCTAGATGATCTTGATGATGTTATAACAGTCACAATAATGGTTGCCTATTTTAAAATCTAACATTTCCCACTGAAAACTGCAGAACAACTAAAGAAAGCTATAGAAAAGTTAAAAAAAAAAAAACTCCCAACAATTCTTCTTGTAAATATTTACTGTGTAATGCTAGTCGTCGCAGCTGAATTAATGAGTAGCCCAGCGAGGGCAGGCTAAGTTGCTTGGCATGCTGTGAGGTCTAGAGCTGTCAGAGACCACTTCAATCCCCCTTCATCTAGGTCTCTCTAGTCTCTTGGTGTTTCCATTTTAATGTACACTTTCACTGTCGGCAGTGTTAAAGGAAAAAAAAAAGGGGGGGGGGAGAGGGGGGATGCAGGATGAAGCAAGGCTATGCCACTTTTGAGGCAGTGACAGGAGGCATTATAACCAGCTCCTCATGGGAACAATCAGCAGAAGTACCTTGGAGCCGCTGCTGTATCAGAACTCAGCAAGCATGGGAATGCCCACTGTGCAGTGAGGTCAACTGTGATAACACAATATAACAAACCTGCTGGCGGTCATCTGTTTCAGCTCCTCCCAGCTAGAAGCCAGCTGGTCAAGTCGGCTCTGAATGTCAGTGGCTCCGATGTCAGACTCCTGCATCAGTTTCTGACCTGTCTCCTGAACAGCCTGTAAGGGGAGATCAAATGTATTCTTTTCTTACAGGCATTATCTCTTCAAGTTAAAAGAAGAATTTTTCTAGGACAGCAAACAACTAGGGTGAAAGAAGATAACTCCTATGCTAAAAAGATCTCTACACTCACAAAGAGAAGGAACAAATACCCCCAAAATGTGCCCTTATCTGTATTACAGCTATGGTGTCACCCAAATCTCAAATCCTCAGGCTGGTATCACTTATCTCATTGACTGCTAACTATCTTCTATAAATATTTAAAGTTATTCTGATCCAGACGGGTTAAAACTGCCACATTGAGATGCCAAAAGTAATATTTGTGTTAACACAGGTTAATATAACAGCTTCATAAGGGCAGAGTGTGTAGAAAAGGCATAAGGTAAGCAGTTACTGGTAAACTCATGGTAAATTGACTGGGACTCAATGCATTAATGATCAGATGATTAGCTACTGCATGACCCTGTTTAATGTACTGCAGAAGACAAACAGCAGTGAAGACTATGACTACAAACCCAATCATCATAATGTCCAACTAACCCACAGACATGATTAAAAGAAAAAAAAGAAGTATCTATTGGCCTGCAGTCCAGAAGTGGACGAACAACCAGAACTTTCCGCCAGAGTTTACAGCTGGTGAAAGCGAAGAAAAAGAAGAAGTAAAAGAAGAAGAAGAGAAGAAGAAGAAGAAGAAGAAGAAGAAGAAGAAGAAGACAGTTAATTACAATTTTTTCGTCTTTCTGTTTTTCACATTCACCGGCTGAAAACTCCAATGAAAAGTTCTGGTTGTTTGTCCCCCTCCGGATTTAGTTGCGTTCCTAATCACTCAGGCAGATGCTTCTAACTTTACACGAAGCCCCAGTTAGTTGACTCTTACAACCTCCTTTTGGAAAGGCAGCAGGTCTATTCTTGTTGTATCCCCCATAATAGGGCCCCAGAACCCACACAGACTAATTAAGTCAACCAATTAATCTTGCTCAATTCCTTTCCTAAACCTCTACCCCCCCCCCCCCCCCAAACTCTGCCTAAATATAGTCAAGTTTTTTCTCCTTCTTACAGAAAGAATTAACACTCTACCTTTCTCCCTCACTCTGTTGTCTCTTTCTCTCCCTGCCTCTTCCCTCTCTTGAATATCTTTTCCTTCTCCCCTCCCACTCTCCTCCATTCATCCCTTTCCCTCTCTGCATGTCTGATAAACAACAGTAAAATACAAAACAAAGCATAAGACCCATGCAACATGCACACACATATTCCCCCCCCCCTCCCCCCACCCAGCTCACACACACACCTGAATCGCTGGTTCATGGTTCTCCAACTCTGCCTCCAGCCTCTTGTGTTTCTTCTTCAGGTTCTGCACACCCGTCAGATCACGGCCGTAATCTTCAGATCCAACCAGCAACTTCTTTTCCCTGAAAACATGTGTCAGTTTGATCACACACACATTTATTAACTCAATCTTAAACAGTCACTCAAAAGTATTTAGCTTAAAAGCGGTAAAAAATCTGGCCTTAATTAGTTCAGCATATACACAATGAGACATTAAAAAGTTGAATGTTGAATGCTGAATTAAGAATTGACATCACAGCACTCGGAACACAGCCATTAGTGCTCCGTTTCTATTTTCAGCAGCAAGTCATGAGTTCCAATTCCAATAGCACCAGTAACTGTCTGATTGTATATCCATGTTGTCCTTACCCCGAGTGTTGAGTGTCGGCCAGATCCCATGGTAACTTCTTGCAGCGCCATTCTCCTCAGACTGTAATGATCTATCTGTGCCTCCGCACTGTTCACTCGCTCTGAAAGGGCCCTCACAATATCTAGCTTGTCATACATTAATTCACCACCAAGTGGTGCAGAGCCTCTTTAAAAAAGTTAAACTAATCATCAACACAAACCACTTTTGCTGTTAAGCGTCGTGGGAGGAACAATTTGCGATCTAGCAGACACTGGCTGGCACTGGCTACGGTCATGCCATGAAGGCAACCGGACATATTTGTCCCAGTGTCTTCTTGCTCGTGTAGCTAAACCTCTGAGATGTAGTGCCTGTGATTGTATTTGATCTTGCTGCATTCTAACGAGATGGCCAAACCGCTTGATTTGCTGTTTCTCAATTAATCTAGTACAATGTGTAGTTCTCACAATCTGTCTGATAGTATTATTATTTACTCAGTTTCAGATGCCAATCAGGTTGGAAGCTTTTCTCAGGTTCTCATCTCACAAGTGAGACTGTGCGTACACAGTGAAACTCTAGACAATATAAATGATATAACATTTTTCTGGGACAGAAGACAGCTAGTAAGGTATATTATCTTTGGAATGATACAGAAACGCGTGGTGTGCAGTGGGATTCAAAAAGATAATTTCATTCTTTATAACAATACATCACAAGTGGCTGAATGCTAAATAATATAAGGAACATCCCACAGTGAATGAATCAAAAGACAGCCATATAAGAATGAAGCCAGGCCAATGACTGAGACCAAAACATGCTCAAGTTAATTATGAGAGCTCATTTGGTCAGCGTCTGTGGCCTAGGCATTGCGAATTGGACACCGGATTTGATCCCAGCTGTGAACAATTTGACTTGTGTTGGTAATAGTAGATGTAATAGTACGAAGAAGCAGAAAAAGGAAGAGGGGAAGAAAGTGGGTTAGGAAATGGAGGGTCAGGACGAAAATAAAGAGCAGGAAGGAACATGACTGAAGGAAGGAAGAAGGAGAGACAGAAGAACCACAAACCCTTTATCCAAGAAAATAAAACACTTAATTTATTCAGGAAAACCGAACATTTAATTTATCCAAGAAAACAGAACCCTCACTTTTTAAAAAAAAACAGAAGACTTAATTTATCCAAGAAAACAGAACATTTTACTTTATATAAAAAAAAACAGAACACTTACTTTATCTAAGAAAACAGAACCCTCACTCTATCCAAAAAAAACAGAAGACTTACAGACTTACTTTATCCAATAAAACAAAACTTTTACTTTATTTTCTCCCAAAAAACAGAACTCTTACTTTATCCAAGAAAACTAAACACTTACTTTATCCAAGAAAACTAAACACTTACTTTATCCAAGCCTCCTCATCATCAATGTCCCGGAGAAACTGGTGCATAGTGTTGGCCTCATTCAAACGGTTGCGACGATGAACAGCAAATTCCTTGATCCTGCACAGACACAGAAGCATAAACCAGTCAGTTAATCCCAATATAAATGAACTTTTCTAATAAATCATGACTACTTTCCAAACAACAAAGAAGAAAATCAATTTGAGATAATGACAGAGGCAGAACAGGAAGAAAAAAAGGAAAGAATTAAAAACTAAGGAGTGGAAGAATGGAAGAAACGGGGAATCAAAAAAAAATGAGAAAAGCAAAAAGGATGGGGGAAAATAAAAACCTTAGATATGAAAGATGGATGAAAGAAATGAGACATAAAATGATGGAAGACATAAAGGAAAGATGGACAAGGTGAAAAAAACGTTAGAAATCAATGAAAGATGAAATCAACAACAAAAAGCCTGGCAAAATATAAAATAAATCTACAAAAAAAAAAAAGGGTTCTTACAATCCTCTCCGCAAAATGTCAGTAAACCTCCTGTCCCATTCATGCCTCGCAGAAAGAGTGGGTGTCATGTATTCCTCATTTTCAACGGTTTAACCATTCTCCTTGTTCTCGTATTGTCTCCGCTCACTTGTTTGTTTATTTTCACATTGTGCTACTTGCTCGACAGTTTAGGAGCATTGAAGCCGGGGGGGGGGGGGGGGGGGGGGGGCCACCACCAACAAACATAAAAATACAAAAACATCCCAGTTTCGATACTTGTGAAACAATGCGCCTGTGGCGCTCCCCCACAGTACTTCTTACTTGTACACAGGCACCTGTGTGGCCTCAAAGAGACTCATGACAACACAACCTACCACAAACATTATATACAGTGAGTAAACATCAAATGAAGCCATCTGATAATACTCCCACAACATAGGACAGGCAGTGACCCGCCGAGGCATGAATGGGAAGGACATTCCCCTCCATACCCTCCCCAAATAAGTAAAGTATGAAACTGTTAATAACTCACTTCTCATATCTCTCATTGATGGTCTTCTTGCGAGATATGATACTCTCAGAGTCCCAGACTCCGGCTTCCACAAACTGGTCAGCTTGCTCGTTCAGATCTTGGATACGATCCTGGCCAACATAGACAGTAAAAACTGTTAACTCTTCCAGCTCCAGAAGGTCATCACAGGTAACAAACAAGAATGACAACACTAAACTCAAGGGTATACTACTGCCACAGGGGCCAAATACCCAATCCTTGAAAGAAACAATATGTTTTTGAGATTTCTTCACTAAACCTACAACACAGATAACTAACTGAGTGGTACCCATGAATGACATCCAGTCCCAGTGTGTTACTTGTGAGTAAACTTTGGATCTTTTCTCCAGGCCATGCCGGCGTAGTGGGTAATGAACAGGCAGACAGACTGGCTGGATCTGCACCGCTGGATGGTGAATTGATACATGACAAGGCAGATGTGGTCAGAGCCCTTTGGGAACAAGTAACGAAGTCAGAAGAGAAACTAGATTATTATGGGCTGGAGAGAATGGTGCACCTGAGCGTGACCACAGGGTTCAGTCAGCACATTACGCTCAGAAGAAAGGTAGGACAGACTTACAACCACCCTACAACCGGCACCATTAGTTTTGGAACTCTGCACTGGCTGCTAAAGATGGGGACGGAGCGCATATGGAAATGCCCTGAGTGCTGTGATGTCAATTTTTGACTCAACTTCTGACAGACAGAGCTCAGTAAGGGACAGTGGTAGGTAGGTATACAGTCTTCTTCCACCTTCTATCCCCCAAAGCAGAATAAACCCCTAACCAACTCATACCAAGTCATTTTATCCTTTACTTATTGCATGCAACTCACCCCATGCCCTACCTATCTTTTTAACTTCACTAGTTCCCTTCTCAGTGCGTTTTTTGGTCTGCTTTTATTTCTATGCCCCTCTGGGTTCCAGTGCAAAGATATTCTAGTTATACTGTTCTCAGGTTTTCTCAATGTGTGTCCTATCCAATGCCAGCATCTTTTCTTCACCTCTAGTTTTACAGTGCTAGATCTAAACTACTCTAACCAGCCACCACTTGGCCTGATTCTTTTAGGTATTATATATAAGAAACAGACAGACAATGTATTGATCGTCACTCACAGAAAGAAGCATTCAAATAGAAGGACATACTAGACAACATAAAATATGCCCAATATGCCTAAAGGCGTGGAAAAGGGTCCTTTCCTTTTACTCAAACTAGGGACACATTTGAATCTGAGGCTCCCATCTCTTCCCTAGTGCAACTCTTATACCACTGTCTGAAAGAACAGACTTTTTCTCAACCACTCACCACCGAATCGAACCTGGGTAAATGTCAATGATTGCAATATGAAATCATTTCATTCACCTCTAAGCCACAAAACCGTATAATTGGGGAAAGTCTAGCCACAAAAAAAAAAAAAATGACAACCATAAAGTCTGACCTCATGGGCTGCAATGTCAGCCTCCATTAACTGATGTTTCTTGACCAGATTCTGAACTGAGGCTAAATCCTTCCCATAGTCCTCAGAGGCTAACATCTGCTCCACCTGAAAAATACAAGATTGTAGTTTGTTTTGTATTGTTTTTGTTTAGGCAAGAATGAACATAATTCCATGTTAATCCTGCAGAAAAGATTTTTAAAACAGTTATACGCTGACTTCTTTGTTTGTGTCCCATAAGTTTCCATACATAGGGCCCTAAAATACAAATAAAAACATTTTATTTTTACAAAAAACATTTTTATTTATAGAATATGCTCTGCTTGAAAACCGTTCTGTTTAAAACTCATTTGGGTGCATGTATTTGACTGCTGAAGAACACATAGCCACAGCTGGAGTTATGCATCTAATGACATTGGTGATGTGTTTATTTGTTCTATATGTGGAAACTATGGAGCACACTGTACATTACTTTGACCTGAGTCATCTCAGGACTAAGCCAGACAGAATAAGGGCCTCAGATATTGCCAGTCCAATTTACCTTCTAGGACTGCTTTTTGACAGCTGCCTTCCTTCTTTTTACAGATCCTCAAACCAGGGAAAGCATAAAACTAGCTTGATGTACTCATAGATCAACTTGGAACAATCGTCCACCGTGACAGTGAAACTAAGATATCATCAACTCACTCACAGATCAACTTGGAACAATCTTCCACTGTGACAGTGAAACTAAGATATCATCAACTCACTCACAAATCAACTTGGAACAATCTTCCACTGTGACAGTGAAACTAAGATATCATCAACTCACTCACAAATCAACTTGGAACAATCTTCCACTGTGACAGTGAAACTAAGATATCATCAACTCATAGATCAACTTGGAACAATCTTCCACTGAGACAGTGAAACTAAGATATCAACTCACTCACAGATCAACTTGGAACAATCTTCCACTGTGACAGTGAAACTAAGATATCATCAACTCACAGATCAACTTGGAACAATCTTCCATTGTGACAGTGAAACTAAGATATCATCAACTTACTCACAGATCAACTTGGAACAATCTTCCACTGTGACAGTGAAACTAAGATATCATCAACTCACAGATCAACTTGGAACAATCTTCCATTGTGACAGTGAAACTAAGATATCATCAACTCATAGATCAACTTGGAACAATCTTCCACTGTGACAGTGAAACTAAGATATCATCAACTCACAGATCAACTTGGAACAATCTTCAACTGTGACAGTGAAACTAAGATATCAACTCACTCACAGATCAACTTGGAACAATCTTCCACTGTGACAGTAAAATTAAGATATCATCAACTCACAGATCAACTCGGAACAATCTTCCATTGTGACAGTGAAACTAAGATATCATCATCAACTCACTCACAGATCAACTTGGAAGAAGCTTTCACTGTGACAATAAAACTAAGATATCATCAACTCATTCACAGATCAACTATGGATATGGAACAAATTTCCACAGCAACAGTTAAACTAATATGATGTCTACTTCTATAGGCGTGTGAAGTGAAAACAAGTGTGCTAAGATACATGAACAAATTGGCACTCCTAAAAAAAGGTGTCATCACAGGCCTGTCTATCATGCAGCTTGAGATCCACAACAGTCATTAGCTGAATGCAATGTTGCCCTGTGTGCCTTAACTTCTCAGAATATTTCCTGCTTAATAGAGCCCATTTTACTGAAACAAATCCAGTCTTTGACAGGAATTCACAAAAATGGCCCAGGAGCCACCTGGAAAAAAAAACTAGCCACTGAGGACAAAAACAAAACAAGATTAACTTAAAACTCATGCTGGAGCCTGTATGAGCCTGGAATGCAAGAACAATCCCCACAACATCAGACCAGATCAGAAAACATCTGTTATAAACATCAACCCACCTCTCCAAGCCAGAAGTCAATATCCTTGACCCCAGCATTGTACGTCTGCTGTCTGCTAGCCTCTTTCAGTTTCTCGCTCTTGTCTGCAGATTTGCTGACGAGATCCTCCCATTGGCTAAGGAGGCTTTCGATTCGGTTCTGCACAGCCTCTTCAGATCCAGCACACTGATGTTTGTCAATCAGGTCTGAAATATGAGATTATAAAATAACAGAAATGTTTGGGGTAATTTGGCTGAGGGATGTGAGTATATTTACTGAAAACAGCATTTAGAGAGGTTTCCTTGTAAATCCAATATTTCTTTTATAAAGCCAGATTAACTTAACATTTCCCTGTAAGCCTCAATGATAGAGGTCACAGCAACAGTCATCTGATACATATCTGATTTAAGTTAGGGAATGTAATGTACTGAATGACTCACTCTGGTTTTATTTATTGATTACCCCCTTTATCTATTTTTATATATTCACAAGAAGAAAAAAAACATTTAAAAAATGTACATAAATTGATTGTTAAGTTGTGCTAATAAAAAAGAGATGTGAGTAGGACATGTAGCATTCTTGGGTTGGCGAGAAAAACAGAGGCCCCATGTACATTTTGTGCAAATTAACCCTTTCGTCCTGCAAATGCTAAAAAAAAATGGGCCATAAACTTGTGGAAATTTCTGAAAAAAATCTTTATAAAAAAAACCCAGACACCTATTAAATTGTTTTGCAGTCTAGTGTTTTTCATGCCAGCCTAAGAATGCTACATGTCCTACTCACATCCTACTTTCCTTTTAGCCCAAATTAAAAGCTGACGTCGTGCAACAGCCAAAGATGAAGATCATAATTTCTGAGTTTTTCAATCACCAAAAAAAAAAATATATCATTCTGCAGAAACATTAACTGATAATTACATGAGCTGCTGCATGTGAAAGAACTGATTGAGGGTGGATCCAAGCACTTACAGAGTGAACAATTCAATGTGCAGTAACGATGATCTATCAGCAAAACATAGAAAACTAAAGCTGCCACTCCAAGGACGATAAAGTCTACAGGGAGGCCTGGCACGAGTTGGCTCAGGGCCTATGCTCCATTAGGAAGAAGAATTAACCAAATAAATACAGAAACTCCTTACTTTGCCCCGTGCCCAGTAGAGCCTGCAGACGGTCAGCATTAGCGGCCAGCTCAGCTTCGAAAGCCTGGTGCTTCTGATGTTTGCTCTGGATGTTGGAGGGATCCTTGTAGGACTCGTCCATGGCGATCTGCAGCTTCTCCTGCAGCCAGGTCTCCATCTCATCTGCATCACGTGAAAACTGCTGCAGAGTTTGAGCTTCTCCCAGCTTGGATCGGTTTTCAATTAGAGCATCTTTCAGCTTGGACCACCTGTCAACAGAAAATGTAGCCTATGCTGTCCTAAGACTGTGGAAAGGGCTTATGGAAGCAGAGTTAGGTAATCGCAATTACAACTTCATAGCAAGTGCGTCACCCCATAGTTGCTCCGTTACTGTGCCAGCGAAAACCTATAGAATGTCCATTTCTGTCCCTTCTGGGAGAAAAACTGACAGACTGCCGTTTCAGAAAGGCCAATAGCATATGCATAATGTAGGTGGCAGAAGTACTAAAACAGACAGTCTGGCACTAAAAATGTAGCTTATCATCAATGGAAGCAGCAGTGACAACAGATCAGAAGTTGCACATGCAATTAATCCTATATGGCACCACCATTTCAATGACAACAGACCACTCGCCACTTCCTGAATCGGCAGTCCACAACAAAAATTACCACGTTGGGCTCGGCAGAATAGCCTTCTTAATGAAATCTGCAGCTCACAGTGTCGCCCCATGCACCCAACTGGACCCAGCTGACTAAATGATGATGACACAAAGTCATTAAATACCACATCCACATGGACCAAATACCCAGCTCATTGAAGGAAATAGATGTGCCGGGGTGTTTTACTATGCCCTGACTAAATGTAAAATATTTAAAAGTAGACCTTCACAATGAAGGATAACAACAGTGCAGAAACTGCTATCTTTGGGAATATTATGTGCCCGCCTATATCTCTTCCCAGGTGTGACTCTCATACCACTGACAAAATGCAATGATAATATTTTTTACAGGTTGCATCAGAAATCTCTTGACTTAGTTGGCATGCACATCCGTTTTACAGATCTTGCTTGTTTATGTGCAGACTGTTGGCTCCTCATAATTCAGGCTGATACACTTTTGACGGCATGTCAGATGGGAGTGTATCTGTTCTTCTCCCCCCCCCCCCCCTCCAAAATGATGCCCCTGGAAGTCTACCAGAAGAGCCACAGGAATCAAACTAGTACATCAAGGGTTTTGAAATTGTGAAACACATTCACTAACCTCTAGGTCACAAAACATGTGTGCAAATAAGTAACATCCTGTCAAAACATGGTGACCCGTTTGACATGTAGAGACTTAGCAGTGTGCAGCAAACAACTTCTGCAGACCAGAGTGACCAAGAAACCATTACCTGTCCAGGGCTTGGTCCCTCTTGTCAGACACAGCTGGTCCGTCATAGTTGCTGGACTGGATCAGTTGGTCAGCAAAGTTCTGCAGGGCATTAATCTTCTCCTCCTGTTGACAACAGAAGAAACTGTCTAATTAAACAAACTGTGGCTTAGATACGTATAGTTAACATTGCTTTAAGTGTGGTTGTTTTGCTCATATACACATTTTACTCTTTACTCAATCCTCATTTTCACCACGAACAGATCATTGGCACATTGTTACTCTCATTGCAGGTGAAGGAAAGAAATATCTTTTTCCCCTTCAGCTTACCTGTCTCACATACATTTTCCCAACAAAGTGTCCTAATGATTTCAGCCAATAGCATTAAAATACGACCATCAAATCATCTATCTAGTCAATGAATTTCTCATTCATTCATCCAGCCAATCAATTTCTCATTCACTCATCCAGCTAATCAATTTCTCATTGATTAATCCAGCTAAACAATTTCTAATTCATTTATTAAGCCAATTGATTTCTCATTTATTCATCCAGCCAATCAATTTCTCACTCATTCAACCAGCAAATCAATTTCTCCTTCATTCATCCAGCCAGTCAACTTCTCATTCATTTATCCATACTGCCAATGAATTTTTCATTCACTCATTCATCCAACCAATGAATTTCTCATTCACTCATTTATCCAGCCAATGAATTTCGCATTCATTAACCGAACCAATCAATTACCACAAACACTCCTACACAACTCACTGGTTGGGGGGGGGGAGACTCCTGGGAATAAAGGTCCCAAATTATCAAGGTTAAAATAAAAACATACTCTAACAGGGCTGCAATGATATGTAAAATTTGGATTTATTTCTGGCAAGTATGGCAGGAATAGCATCAGCTCCGACACAGATTAGCAATAATGTTCCACCGATTGATGAACTGGTACCTGTATATGTTAGACCTGCCGTCTTAAATGTATTAATGAATAATAAACTACAGTGGTTGCAATGGCTTGCTACACATAGATAAATCCGAAACTCATTCTTATATTTTTGTTCCTAGCTTTTAATATGTATATCAGATGACCAATTGAGGCCCTGTTAGGGTATGTTTTTTTTTTAACCTCAATAATTTAGCATCGTTATTCGGAGGAGTACTGCTGGCTGCATGGACTTTTATCATGGTATGGGGCATCGCAGGTCGACCTAGCCTAAAATGGGTACCAGGATGTATGTAAAGACGGCCTGCGTAATGCTGACCACATAACACACTTAGTGCCGAATCGTCTGTAAAGATACGAGTGCTCTTCCCATATGCTCAATGCGCCTAAAGGTGTCAAAAGGGATCTTTACTTTTACTTTACTATTCGGCGTAGAACCCACCCTTCTTATCTGTTCTACAGTCAGTGACGGCAAAACTTGCACAAGGTTTGTTAAAACAGAACAATTATTGTCCACTCCACCTCCGTATATTTGATATGCATGGGCCAATAAGGTACCACTAATAATTGGTAACCGCACTGACTGTCAACAGTAGTGACTGCCAGGTGTAACAAGAACTGCACAAACCTGAGAGTTGATGGCCCGATCAAAGTCCTCATGTTTCTTGATGAGGGTCTCCACATTGTCACCATCGACAGAGTCACCGGCAAGGAAGGCTTCCCGAGATGCCATCCAGGATTCGGCCTGCTCACAGTCGCGATAGAACAGTTGCAGCTCCAGGCACTGGTCCAGTTTAATACGGCGGGCAATCCAAGCTCTGAGGATATTGGGATAGTCACATATGAAAAACAGCTGTGTATGCTCTACAGGACCCTAGCATTTTACAACTGTTTGGCTTCACCAGGCAATTGTTTTTGTTCACCAGTTTGTCACTGCTTTCTAAACAGTCAGCTCTCAAAACCACTGTTGAAATCACTGCACAGTAGTCTACTACTTCATCCCTTGCAGCTAAAATCAAAACAGGCACCTTGGAATTAGGAAGCACGTTTAGAACGCCCAAACCACAGATGCCGACTAACATATGAAGCATACAGTATTTTAACTATATGTTGAAAAGATATTCAAACCGTAACTGATTACTGAGAATTTTAGCTACATGTTTAATGATTAGGAAGAAAATGAAACATTTCTGCACAGATAGAAAGTAAGGCATGGGAAAGACAAGACTCTCTGCCTGACTGGAGGTGTGCATAACTCAGTGACAGAATGTGAGCCTTCGAGAGTCGTAAGACAGCACGTCTTAATACAGAGTATGTCCATATATGTTCCCATGTTTGAGAGGAAGTGTGTTTGTGTGTGTGTGTAAAAATAGAGTATGTGAGCATGTGTTTTATACATTCAGAGAATCTTTAAGACAGCGTTTTAGTGTTTTGGGGAGAAAAAGTGTTCATTTTTTCTTTCTTAAAGTCATTAATTATAAACTCAAGAATAACTGGTTTTGAAAGAGCTCACAAAACGCACCAAAGAGCATTGATTGTAGAAAGAGTCAATGTCGAGTCTAGACAGATTATTTCTTGAGAAACAGAACAGGAGAATGATGATGATGATGAAAACTTACTGCTCCAGTTCTTCCCTAGACTTGGCCAGCTCCTCAAGCTTCTGCTGCACATCCTCGCTGGCATAATGCTGGTTCTGCAACAGCTGCTGACCCAACAGCTCAAACGCCTGGAAGGTACCAGCGCGGGCATCCATCTCAGTGCGATGTTCCTGAGAAGAAATAACACAAAAATCAGCAAAACTGTCACAGGTAGTAAAAATCTTATTTGTAAAGTATAAAACAAACAAAAATAAAACAAACAATAATAAAACAAAGAAAGATATATTCTTCCTCATCACCACATTTTCAGACTACTTCTTCTTCTTGTTCACTGGCTGTAAGCTCCAGCGGAAAGTCCTGGTTGTTCCCCCACTTGGACTCTGGCTTTGTGCTAGGACCTGTGTAGTGGTTCACTGGTCCTACATGTAGAGGGACTTGCATTACTTGAGACTCAGATCAGGAGCCTATCAAGCATTTACAGTCCGAACTTTCAGGTGTGTGAGGTAATGAGCAGGCTGATAAATTGGCTGCTGCCACTCCTCTAGACACTAAGCTACTTTGTGATAAAGCTGACACAGTGAAGGTTCTCTGAGATCAAATGGACAGTGTAATACAACAGATATAGAATCCATACAGCGGAAAAACTAATCTAATAGAGGTTCTGAAAGATAATTAATATTGGTGGTGATGGCTGGACATTTAATCAGGCAGCAACTGGTACTATGAGCATACCCACTCCTCGCTGGCTACCGAGGAAGAGACGGAGCAGGTGTGGCAATGTTTAAAGTGAAGTAAACTCTGGCTTTTTCATTCATTCATTCATTCAAGTCACGTGTGAGCCTTTGACAACAAAGTACAGCAGGCATAAATTATTCACTTCCCTTTAGCATCATAATTGAATCATTAATGTAAAATAGATATGTAACGAATAGTTACAGTTGATAATTTCCTGGATACAAACACTTAGTCTTAGACATAAGTTTAATATTCAAAATAATAAAATTTATTAAATAAACTTAATGATTAGCACATGATAAACAATAAATGATGCACTGTGTGAAGATGTTTTTAGCCTTTCCTACCACCTTTGTGACCTTTATCCAAATTCTGCTATTATGTTATCAAATGTTCAGAATGACACCTTTCTAAAATCTCTGTTTACTGTAAATGTTCTCTGTACGTCCTTTCTTTCCCTGATAATTATCGTACTGTTTTCCCCAATAATATTGTTTAATGGTTGTAGTTCTTTCCACTGATATTTATATCAGTTTCCCCCCACCAATATAACTAGCTAAACCATGTTCTGCAGTCCACCTATGTACTTGCTTCATTCATCTTTCACTCCTGCTCACTGAGGCAATGAATTAAAAACAGGGGCCAGTGGTGGTACACTGTACACTTTTAATTCAAAACTTGTGGTCTTGCTAGCTTTGACCCATCTCTGGGTACAACTCTGACCCATGCTCTTGGCAGAACTTTAACCCATTCTCTGGATATACATCTTTGACCCATCTCTGGGTACAAATGTGATCCATTCTCTGGGTACAACTCTGACCCATCTCTTGGCATAACTTTGACTGATATTAGGGTATTATTAAAAAAAACCAGTTAGTTGTGTATCCTTTACAGGACGATGCAGAACCAACCCCAGCATTTTTTGGCTGTTGTGGTTTTTCTAGGCAAATTTAGTAGTAGTTTGTCATTGCTTTCTGAGCGGTCAGCCATCGGTACCACTGTCGAAGCCAAAGCAAGACGCTATACCGACAAACTGCAGCTGGGATCGAACCCAGCACCCCAGCATTATGACATGTGTTCGCAATGCCTAACCCACAGACATCCGGGTATGACTCATTAAAAAAAAAAAAAACAGAAACATGCTTGCCACCACCGGCTTTCAGATCCATGCTATACACAACAAATCTAACTATGCTCTTTAGATACACCACAAAACACACACAACAAAATAATTAATACAGAAAAGCTGCTAATTATCACAAATCAGGATAACAGAAAGACTAAAAGCAGATCTTTAACGTTCATATGTCATGAATATTTTGATAGAGCAGTTAAATGACAGCAAACAGTATTTATAACTTGAAAACATGCTTATCACAGCAAATAACCACACACTGCACTTTAAAGAATATCATTACTATCACTTTTCTATGGGTACTGGACGGAGGAGCTCTGCTGTTAATCAAATACCCACAATAAAATAAAGACTACAGTCCCCACAGTGTGGATGTCAGACGGGACCCACACAAACATGTGAGCACATACTGCAGGCCCGCCCACTAAACTTACAACTACAAAATGAAACTTGGCTTCAAGAGCAAAGTGTGCAGGCCAAGCTATTGGGAACTTAACAGGACCTGCACCCGACAAATGAGTTCACAGAGGCAACCCACCTGACAGATGAGTTCACAGAGGTGACCCACCTGACAGATGAGTTCACAGAGGTGACCCACCTGACAGATGAGTTCACAGAGGTGACCCACCTGACAGATGAGTTCACAGAGGTGACCCACCTGACAGATGAGTTCACAGAGGCGACCCACCTGACAGATGAGTTCACAGAGGTGACCCACCTGATAGATGAGTTCACAGAGGTGACCCACCTGACAGATGAGTTCCCAGAGGTTACCCACCTGATAGATGAGTTCCCAGAGGTGACCCACCTGACAGATGAGTTCCCAGAGGTGACCCACCTGACAGATGAGTTCACAGAGGTGACCCACCTGACAGATGAGTTCACAGAGGTGACCCACCTGACAGATGATTCACAGAGGTGACCCACCTGACAGATGTGTGTGTGTGTGTGTGAGTGGTTGTGTGAGTGGTGTGGGTGGGTGGGTGTGTGTGTTTTTTGTTAACCTTAGTGTATATTATGTGTATCATTATTTCCTCAGTTGATTTGTTTCCGATTGCAGTGCCTGTCTAGTGATTCTCTATTCACTTCTTATGATGTGCCTAACATTTTGTCGTCCTCTTGGTCTAATAACTGTTAATTCCAGTGATTTATTTTATTTCTTCACCTTTCCTGAATTCACCCCTTTTATGATGTTCATCAATTCCTGACAAAATTGTTTTTAGGGGGGATACTGAAAATGGACCATATGTTCTATGTCTTTTATGGTTCTCGAACTTTAACTGGCACGCACACACAAAGATTTGCAAACGCTAAAGTTCAATGCACTATCAATGATACTGCTAAACAGACTAAAACCAGATGATTAACAAGCCAGTTTCTAACAAAATGGGGCCACGCAACACACATAAGGGAAATACTTGACCTGTACCACCCAAGTCTACCCAGCCTAAAACTGGTATTAGGAAATGACCATGGCAGTAAATGCAGCTGGTGCTATGTTAATAACATAAACCATCATGAAGGGGAATCTTCACTTTGTTTCCATTTAAGTAATGTATGTCATGTCACCAGAAGGGATACTGTCCTTGACACATAATCCTGCAATAACATCCCCACCGATGGCAATAACTGCTCTAAAAGTAATAATGATAATAATAGTAATTAAACAATTCAAAACAGAGGCAGCAACATCAATTCAGCATGCAACTCTCACATCCAACCACAGAAAACATGCAATTTAAACATTAGTCTCAAACAGAAGCAGCTCAAATATTAAGGAGGGGAGGCAGGGAGGTCTCGTCTGTTGCCAACGATCTTAAAAACCAAGCACACTGACAATGCGATTAGTTGTATGGGTCAAATAAAACTGTGGACTTCACTCAAGCATAGCTAAGTGTCTACCTCGTCTAAATATTCACCATCCTCCTCGCCCGGTAGGGCTGTGATGCCATAATGGCTGACAATTTCAGAACTCAACATCTGAGCACAATGAGTCAAGACAGAAATTATCAGATTTTTTCTTCAAATAAGTAGAAAGACAGGTTATCTGTTCTAGAGTTATCAGTTGTGGTCTTAAAATAAGTACAAATATTAAGAAAAGTTATTTGTTCTAGAGCTTAAAATAAGTACAAATATTAAGAAAGGTTATTTGTTCTAGAGCTTAAAATAAGTACAAATATTAAGAAAGGTTATTTGTTCTAGAGCTTAAAATAAGTACAAATATTAAGAAAGGTTATTTGTTCTAGAGCTTAAAATAAGTACAAAGATTAAGAAAGGTTATTTGTTCTAGAGCTTAAAATAAGTACAAATATTAAGAAAGGTTATTTGTTCTAGAGCTTAAAATAAGTACAAAGATTAAGACAGGTTATCTGTTACAGAGCTAACAGTTGTGGTCTTAAAATAAGTACAAAGAATATAACAGGTCATTTACTACAGTGTAATACTTGTTATGCATTTAAAGCCTACATTTAACCTGCTTCAGGACACATTTAACCTGGTTTAGGACATTCTAACTGTACTCTAAAACAGCAATAACAATTATACAAAGAAGACCAAGAAAGAGATGGATATACAGTGAAGCTGAAACCTTGAAAAAAAAAAGATGGACAAATCCATCACCCAAGCCACCCGATAAACGCAAGACAAATATACAGAAAACCACGATACTGGGCTACAAACTGATATCAGTGAGACGACAAAACCACAATACTGGGCTACAAACTGATATCAGTGAGACGACAAAACCATGATACTGGGCTACAAACTGGTATCAGTGAGATGACAAAACCACAATACTGGGCTACAAACTGATATCAGTGAGACGACAAAACCACAATACTGGGCTACAAACTGATATCAGTGAGACGACAAAACCACAATACTGGGCTACAAACTGATATCAGTGAGACGACAAAACCACAATACTGGGCTACAAACTGATATCAGTGAGACGACAAAATCACAATACTGGGCTACAAACTGATATCAGTGAGACGACAAAATCACAATACTGGGCTACAAACTGATATCAGTGAGACGACAAAACCACAATACTGGGCTACAAACTGATATCAGTGAGATGACAAAACCACGATACTGGGCTACAAACTGATATCAGTGAGACGACAAAACCACGATACTGGGCTAAAACTGATATCAGTGAGATGACAAAACCACGATACTGGGCTACAAACTGATATCAGTGAGACGACAAAACCACGATACTGGGCTTAAACTGATATCAGTGAGATGACAAAACCACGATACTGGGCTACAAACTGATATCAGTGAGACGACAAAACCACGATACTGGGCTACAAACTGATATCAGTGAGACGGTAAAAGAACAATGATACACACCACTAATGAGAATACCCTTATCTAACAGCATGAGTAGTCAATTTAAGAATCAATATCATGACACACCGAGTATACCTGTAGACGCTGGCCTCCCACAGACAATGTGTAGATGCTAACTGTTCCATTAGCACACTGATTATTCACACGTCGTTCTCTCCCTCAAACTGATTATATACATGTTATTTTCTTTGTCTCAAACATCCGTCTTTGCCAGATCCACTCATAATTCCACATTTACACCCTCTTATGCATGTTATGTCATTTAATCTCTTCTATCAGCTTTGTCATAAACAGACTTCAGAATGTCAAGATATATATATGAGTCAGTCAGTATATGAATACACATAAAAATCACTCAGTTTCTACAGACAGACAGACAAGACAACCATTTTTTTTTTAAATTTATTTTAAAAAAATAAAAATTGAAAGAAATTTTGGAAACCCTTAACGAAATCCAACATTTAGTATTTTTACAAACAATCTGTAAACACATTTTTTTTAACGGAAACATTTCATCAGTTACAAGCAGAAACATCAAATGCCACAAAATCAGTCACATCCTAGCGGCTGTTGCCAACATATTTTAACTCTTAGAGTCCGCATCATACGTTCATAGGTTCCTACATAGAAGCCCAATGAACACATGATGCGCCAATTTCATGTCTCTTTTGACTACCCTTGGGCCTGTGATGCTAAAGCCCGTGGCACTCAAAGAGTTAAAGAACCAATTTTGACCTAGTTTAATGTATGAAGGAAGTTCATTTAAATTACCTGGCAGCTTGTAAGCTCAAATTTACCTACTCTCTTTTGCTTAAATTTATTTTAAATTAACTTGTGTATTTTTTTTAGAAATACAGCCAAATTATTTTAAAAAGAATTTTTAGAAACAATTATATGCAAGTGAATATTTTTTTTTAAAAACAATCTGGCAACTGAAAAAAAAAAATTTATTCTGAATTGTTAAATCACGCCAAATTTTAAAAATATTGTACATAACAGCACATTAACTGGCATAAAAGACAAAGTTGCAATTTCTGACTGACTGACTTCATGGAGCACGTCACAGACGAGGCATGGCAACAGACTTGCTGCACCACAACACCAACAACACAGCAGGGTATACAGAAGAGAACACTTCAGCTTTCCTGCAGTGCTAACATTACCTGATGTCTTTCCAGCAGAGCTTCAGCCCCGGTGACATCCTTCGCCAGCTCATCGGAGGAGACCAGGGACATCATGCTGTTGATCCAGCTGGTCAGATCTCTGAAGTTACAAATTATAATAATAGTTTTAATAGTCTTCTTTTCTTTACTCCTGGAATGGCTCGCAGTGACAGGGCAGGAAGAGATCTCTGAAACGGGCCTCTCTTTTCACTTTGTATTCTTCATTTTCTACAAGCACTTAGTAGGCACTGTCAGTTTGCTTGACCAGTCACAACAATACTAATGAATACTATGAGATCTGTTTGGAAAAAGAATAATTGTTTAACCAGTTTAGTTTATTTTCTATTGATCCACAGGTTATGAGAGGGCCTCAAATTGAAACTTTAAAACAGAGAAAGAGAGAGAGAAATAGAAATTCAATAACCATACCACTATCTTGAAACCTGTCAGTATTGTTCAGGATGTCAAGATTGTTAAGCACGTGACATCAGGGTGCAGACGAGCATGGTGATATCATACTGACAGTTTAAAGTTTGACTTGGGAAGTTTCAAAATGACATGATTCTGAGATAAGACTGTCCACAATAGGGTCAGGCACATCGAGGAGTGACCACAGATTTGGTTGCAGCAGTTTTTAAACTTCCTACTAACCTCGCACACTTGCTAGATTGCTGGGCTGACAAGCATGCATCACCATACTAGATCTTCATTCCCTGGTGAATTTTATAGGTTTCACACTGGTGAAAAGAGGCATAACAGAACGCTGCTCCTCTCTGGTGCATGTCAAAAGTGAGGCAACCATCTTTAAACTGTCATTTTGATATCACTGTATATATCTGCAGTGACAATCATGTGCTTAACACTAGGGATATCCTCCTCCTCCATCTCTCTAGTCCTGTTCTGCCTTTCAGTGCCAGGTTTTAAAGTAGCACTGGGTGCACGCCTTGCTGTGTGTTAAGCAGAAGCTAGTATTTATGGCCTTAGATATTCCATCTATCAAGCTTGTATGTTCGACCTCTATTTCTGCTTCCGTTATGTCTAAGTGACAGGGCACTCTCTGTGATGCACTATCTGGTGGTAATCTGGATACATGTCCAAAATATCTGATGTACTTTAGTACTGGTTCCATCCTAACTTATTTCCTGATATCATCCTTTCTTAACCTGTCTCTTCTAATTACTTAGATGTAGGATTTGTCGTAGACATTTCATTTCTGATGTTTCTGTATTTCAGGCAGAAAATAGCATTGACATGAAGTTCCTTATTTGTTACAGACAGAAATGGCATTACCAAAACCACACCCACCTATAATCACTGAGGAATCTCTGAAGGTCATAGGCATCCAACAGCTTGACTTTACGGGCATCAGCCTAAATGGGAATATGTCACAGCTGTTAACTAAATGATGATTTATATGAGATAATGTTAACTAAATCAATACAGAAATGTGTAACAACTGAAAAATTAGTCAGTTAAAAAAAAAAGGAATAGGTAACAAATGCCCCCCCCCCCCTTTCCCCAAAGTGTTAAGAGGCAATTGAAATATTTCAGGCAAAATTCAGACACAACACTCTTGCAAAAACCAAACTGAAGGGAGAAGTCAAACAAGAGGTTTTAAAAAAATGATACAAATGTTATGATAACACAAAGAGATGGACATAGAGAAATCTGAGACGGTGTACCACCCACATTCAACCTACTCACAAGTAAGTTTCATTTATATAACATTTTGTTTCAATTACAACTTTTATTATTTTTTTTAAAAATCTTTTTGTGGCAGATTGGGTCTGCTGGCATTTCATTCTTTACCACCCATGTCGTTCAGGCTTTATGTCAAAGAGGTTTTTCTCTACCCGTGAGATGTTGGTGCTTGGTTGCTGAGTCCTGAAAAGGACTAGAACTTATAAGCACTCACCATTAGTATATTACCATCAACCCGGGCATCCTCTTGCGCTTATGTGTCGGGTGTCTTCAATTTGGCCGTCATTGAAAAGTAATGTATCTTCCATCCTTTCTTCTTCTTCTTCTACATCTTTTTTTCTTTTACTTATTCTTCTTCTACTTCTTTTTCTTCTTTTCTTTTACTTATTCTTCTTCTACTTCTTTTTCTTCTTCTTCTTCTACTTCTTTTTCTTCTTCTTCTTTCACTATTTCTTCTTCTACTACTACTTCTTTTTCTACTTCTTCTTCTACTATTACTTCTTTTTCTTCTTCTTCTTTTACTACTTCTTCTTCTACTACTACTTCTTTTTCTACTTCTACTTCTTCTTTGCATTTGGTTTTATATGCTCATGTCAGTCCGCCAGGTGGGCTCGTCTAAGAACTTGCAAGTCAGCTGCAGGTCGTCCATGGTTTCCCACAGATAGCTCTGTTCTTGAGATCAGGTTTCTCTTTATAGTTGTAAGTCTTTGTAAACATGTTCCTATATGGTCTTTAGAATGTCGACCAGAGAGGAGAACTGGCTAATGAAGAACTGACCTTGATGGTCAAAGCATTCCACATCTCATTTATCTCAGTCTGGTGCTCATAAATGTTCTCTGCCTGATCCGGATGTGTCTGCATCAGTCTCTGGGCTGTATCATCAAGCTCACGAACCTAGAGGGAGATAAATCTGTAAGTTAGTCGGGACCTCTGGCACTAACATGATTACATGTCCTGAGAGTTAACCAATTTCTCATAGGAACAATAAGTACAGCTACCCTGGGGTGGCTGTTGCAAGGAAGGACTGAGCGTACACAGGAATGCCCAAAAATGTTGAATGCTAAATAAGAATCGACATCACAGCACTCAGGATACTCCCGCAAGTGCTCAGTCCCCATCTTCATCAGCACACAAAGAGTTCAAATTTAGATGGTACCAGCAACCGTCTGATTGTATATCCGTCTCATCCTTCCCGTGAGTGTTGTGCATCGTCTAGATCCCCTGGTAACTCCTTGCAGCGTCATTCTCCTTAGACCGTAATTATCTATCTGTGCCTCCGCACTGTTCACTTGCTCCCAAAGGGCCCTCACAATATCTAACCTGTCATACATTAATTTACCACCAAGTGATACAGAACCAGCTAGTCTATCTACTTGCTCATTTCCCAACACACCAGCATAACATGGAGAAAATATCCAAAGGATGCTAACTACCCAGGACCTCTGAAGTGATGCTTGCCCCTCTGCACGAAGCAATGAGTAGTGCCCAATGAGCAGTGATGTCGACTGTGATAAAATAACACAAGTGCTTATCAAACCGACATATGGTATGCAGAGGAACCGAAACACAACCAGCGTTTCACCTAAACTTGTCAGGACCTATCCACACCTCTCCACAGCCACATCCTAGAAACAGGTTCCCAGCTGGCAATGTAGAACGGATCGATGATTTCTTCCAAGGAAAGGTGCATGTCTCCAGGAGGTGTAGAACCAAACATTCTGCTCATAAATAAGCCAGGTCTGTAAAACAGATGTGAATGCAGAACTCAAGTTATGGACGACACTAAAGTCCAGAAGTGGACGAACAACCAGAACTACAGTCTGTGAACACTAAACAGAAGAAAATCGGAATTACAGATTGTGAACCTTAAGAGGGCAGAAGAGGAGGAGGAGAAGAAGAAGAAAGAGAAGAAGGAGCAGCTCGAAAAAATCAGAACTTGCCACAAGAGTTTACAGCTGCTGAACACAAAGAAGAGGAGGAAGAAGAATTGGCCAAAGAAGAGGAGGGAGAAGAATTGGCCAAAGAAGAAGAGGAGGAGGAGGAAAAGAAAAAGGAAGAAGCATCTGACACATAAATATATACTTGTTTTATTTTAAGCAACAGCTTGAAGTAACTGATTAAATGAAAAACTGGGTTGTTTGCAAAATCAATACCTTTTCTCCAAGCGCAGCCAGATCCCTCTCCAGACCCTCATGCTTGCGCTGCAATGCCTGAACACTAGCCAAATCATGGCCGTAGTTGTCAATGTTGAGTGCTGCATCTTTCTCCTTGATCCAGTCCTTGGTCTCATCTACCTCTCTGAAATAAAACATGGAGATACTCATGACAAACTCCATAGAGAGATAGAAGTTAGAGTACAGAAGGCAAATGCTGTCACCTACCACCAGTCAGCCCCACTGCTTAGACACCCACATGACTCCCTTCCAACAAAACAGCAAATTATAAATAGCATCTTTATGCCTACTAAATGTTTACCTATTAAATGTTAGCAGTGTCGAACATGGACAATGAATAAGGCACTAGAACAGAAAATAAATACATGCGAAATGCACTGTTTCCATAAAATGACTAACAACACAAGAAGAGATAGGATTACGAATACCAGCATAAGAGAGAAAGTTGGAAAAAGGCAATGTCTGGATTATATTGACAGACAAAGAATGAAATGGTTTGGCCATCTAGTGAAAATGCAGCCAGACCAAACTGCAAATGAGACTTTTTACAGTAGAACATCTGGTAGGAAGGTGAGAGGAAAACCAAGAAAGATATGGTGTAGCAGATACCTGCAAAAAGATGACCAAATCCATTGCCCAAGCCACCCCAGAAGCTCAAGACAAATACAGAAAACCACGACACTGGGCTACAACCTGTTATCAGTGAGACAACAAAAGAAAGAAGAAGAATGACAAACAAGTCGACAACACTCATATTTTTCAGACACTTCAGAAGAGTTTTCTGTTTAAACATTAACAAAATACTGATCCAGTCACACACAAAATGATTTAGAAGTTTTAAGAGTTCTATGATTTGACAACACATTTTAAAAAAAAAATATTTTTATCCATCTGCGGCTAAGTTGATGTGAACGTTTTGTAATGCCAGGATGCCGGGTTCGATCCCAGCTGCTGACCATGCACCTCATGTTTGTTTCGACAGCCGTATAAAAAAATCGACCATCCAGAAAGCAATGGCAAACTATTGGACGTAAATTTGCCTAGAAAAACCACACAACAGCCAGAGGCTGTAGAGGTTGGTTCTGCAAGGTACTGTAAAGGATACGCAACTAACCTTATCCAGACATTACTAGAAAATGGTCAATAAAATGAATTACCTGTGGTACCGCTGGACTTCAAATGAGCTGCTGAGAGTTTGTGCTCGCTCGGCTGTCACATGTTGCAGCGTCACCCACCTCTGGTTCAATTGCTAATGTCAAGAAACAAAAAATCAAACATCAGCATCATCATCAAGAATATCGGCTGGGTGGAGGACCTTCCTGGCAATTTCCCTCTATAGTAATTTTGTTTTTTCAATAATCACCCAAAAATATTGTCTCGTATAGTTTTTATTTTCAATAATAATTTCAATAATCATTCAAAAATATTTCCCCCTATAGTTTTCACCCCCCCCACCCCCCCCCCCCCCCCCCCCCCCCCCCCCCCCCCCCCCCCCCCTTCCCCCCAATAATTAAAAAAACAATATTTACTCCTATAGCTTTTTTTTTTTTTAAATAATCACCAGAAAATAACTTCATCACAGACAAAATCATCAACATGTGCTCCTGCAATAAGCAGAAGTGGTTACAGTTCACCATCTCAGACCACCACCAGATAAAGTCAGTGGTCCTGACCCATTCTATTTATGCAGCTAAGCCAGCTATATATTCATCTCTTCTTTTCTATACAAAATCAATTTCACTGAAGTCACATTTTTATGAAAGCAACATCCAAAAATATCACAATAACATCATAAAAAACATTTTAAATCAATGGTGTGACCAGTTGTTTAATGCGGATCTGAAACCTCGAGCACAACAAAAAGAGATGAAGCCTTATTACAATTTTGTGAGATGTCACAGGACAGTCCAACATTTCAGAGGGTGGTAAGACTGGGTTTCCTAGCTTTCTGATGCTTTTAACAACATCTAAAACTAGCCCTTACCCCAACCCATCTACATCCCATAAGAGAGTGCAGCCTAGGTCCCAAGACGGCATTGAGCCTAGGTCCCACGACTACATGCAGCCTATCTACCACCCCCTGAAATATTAGACTGTCCCGTGACCTGTGGATTTCCCATGTCTGGGGTAGGATATAAGAATGCACCTTATGACAAAGCTCTGGGCACATCAAAGATGCAAACAGCGGGGAATGATGGAGAGTGAGAAACAACATTGAAGTTCATTATCAGTTTAAATCACCACTGATCACTGGCATTGTGACAGCCTTAAACTAAAATGGCTGGGACATAGGGAGAGCATGGCAGAAAACAGAGACAGAAACTGCACACAGGAAGCTAAACGAGAGTAGACATTGGGGCAGATCAATAAGGTGAGTGGATAATATACAGGCAAACTTACAAACACTAGGAGTCATCAAATGGAAAGAAAAGGCCAATCAAACATAAAAATGGGGCGAGTTCTATCTGCAGCAATGAACATCAAGAGTTCAAAATGTTGTGACATAAGAAGAAAATCCTAAAAAAAAACAATAATGATTTTCACTGGTATAGTTGGCTGGCTAACTGGGAGAGAAAAAACAAACAAAAAATATGTCTGAAAATGTAACTCACAACAATCTGCTCTCTGATCTTCTCAGCTGCCTCAGTGTGTCCCATGGCCGTCAGTCGGTCAGCAATGTTGTTCAACTCTTGCAGCCGAGCCTCATTTGCCTTCAGATCCTGTTAAAGAAAGACATTTAAATCACTAAAGAATCATTCATTCTATAAGTATTCCAGAAATAAACGATGTTTCTTTACTGTTTAAAACAATTTACTACCTGACATTTTAAAACATATCCTAGATCAAAACCATACACAATTAACACTTTCTCCACATATAAAATCTGTAACCATACAATTAAATTTTCACCCTATATCTACTCTTGTTGAATGCTGAATTTAGAATCAACATCACAGCACTTGGGACACTCACTCACATCAACCACACAGTTAAACTTTCACTGCAACTCTTTTAACCCATACAATTAAACTTTTATCCCATATTAACTCTCTGAGCCATACAGTTAAATTTTCATACATTTCAACTCTGAACCACAGAGTTAAACTTTCACTGCATATCAACTCTTTTAACCATACAATTAAACTGTCATCCCATATTAACTCTCTGAGCCATACAGTTAAATGTTCATACCATATCAACTCTGAACCAAACAGTTAAACTTTCATCCCATTTAAATTCTCTGGACCATAAGTTAAACTTTCACTATATATCAACTTTCTGAACCACACTGTTAAATTTTCTTCCCTTTTCAACTCTGAACCACACAGTTAAACTTTTACTACATGCCTGAAGGCATGAAAAAGGTCCTTTAATTTTACTATTATCGCAAACAAACCTTCTGGAAGTCGTCAAACTTCTTCTGCAGCTCCTCCACCTGCTCCAGGTCCTCACCGACATCTTCCCCTACCATCAGGCTCTCCTTCTCGGTGATCCAGGCCGCCAGCTCTCCAGCTTCACGCACCAGCTGATAGGCTCTACACGATTCCTGCACATTCTCCCTGCGCTGGTTGGCCAGGTCTAGAAGGTTAGCGTACCTAACAACAACAACAAGAAACAGAACTTGCTTCAAACACAGCTTTTGTTTTGCCCATGTGCATACAATAGCCACATAATTGGGAGTGGTGGTGGGGAAAGGGGGGGGGGGCGCACAGTTAAATCAGGAAAAAAAGGGGGAGAGGGAGGATAGACCCAGTACCGTCCTAAAAAGTATCTCATAGAATGCAATCAATTAAGGGTTTTTCCTTCAAAGTGAGAGTGCATCTGCCTGGGAGGGAGGAATCAATATTCCAGATCTGTAAAACAATGTGTGTGCAAAACTCAAGTTCCGAACAAGACCAAAGTCTAGAAGTGGACGAACAATTAGAACATTCTGCAGTTTACAGCCAGTGAACATAAACATGAAGAAATGAAGAAGAACAAGTAGACGACCAAGAAGAAGGAGAAGGCAAGGGAGGAGGAAGAAGAAGAGAAGAAGTCTGCTGAATCGCATATGTTGGGCTGAAAGGTGTGGATACTGCAGCTTAGCTGAAAACCACATGATGTCAACTGCCCTTTTAAAGGTGAAATGCAGAAGAAGAAATGGTCATTGATATCTACCAAGATATCATTAAAGGTGGTCTTAGACTTCAAATCAATCAATCAATATATCTTTGAAGATGATAACTAAGTTCAGTGAATCAAAAAAAAAATTGATTGTCGATGGTCTATCATTTCACAAAGTCAGTCAAATCATCAATGCCTTTACTTCAATCAATGCTATTAGAGATGTTCTATGAAATAATTTATCAAAACACCATAGAAGATGAATTTACATTCTCAACAAAGCCGAAGTTCACAGCTGGTAAATAGAAACAAAAAGAAGACTTCAACTATTTATATCTAAACAGACTGTTAAATTCTAAAAGTGCCAAGCAATACCTACAAACTAAAAAGTTTAACACAAAAAAAAAAAAAAAGGCCAAACTCACTGAGTCTCAATCTGGTTCTGCCTGACGGAGATTGTGAACTCGTCCATGAGGTTGTTGCGTGAAGCAGACAGGCTTGGGTCGAGTTTCTTCACGTAGGCAGCAGGAACAAAGCCTTGGCGGTCATTCACCTCAACCTTCCACCAATCCTGCGGGTACAAGGAATCAACATCTCAATGAACTCTGATTACCCTCACCCAAATCAAAACAATTTGATCATGTCTGAAATTTTGTTCCAGAAAATGTCCCATGAAGTAAAGTCAGCCAGTATGATGCTGGCCACATTAACCAATGAGTGCTTATCAGTCTATGAAAATGTGGGCCTAGCCTCACAGCAATGGGCCTAGCCTCACAGCAATGGGCCTAGCCTCACAGCAATGGGCCTAGCCTCACAGCAATGGGCCTAGCCTCACAGCAATGGGCCTAGCCTCACAGCAATGGGCCTAGCCTCACAGCAATGGGCCTAGCCTCACAGCAATGGGCCTAGCCTCACAGCAATGGGCCTAGCCTCACAGCAATGGGCCTAGCCTCACAGCAATGGGCCTAGCCTCACAGCAATGGGCCTAGCCTCACAGCAATGGGCCTAGCCTCACAGCAATGGGCCTAGCCTCACAGCAATGGGTCTAGCCTCACAGCAATGGGCCTAGCCTCACAGCAATGGGCCACTGGTACTCTAATCTCTTCCATTCCTCCATATATTACATCTGTATACTAATCCCTTTCTCCCTCACCTAATCTTTTTATCTGCACTCTGTCTTCCTTCACCGCTTGCTATATACGTGTAATTTAATCTTGTACTCCTCTCTATCTGTGTACTCTAAATCTGTATTTGTTCTTTTCCACTACATTTAGGTCTTCATATCTTTACTCTTCACTACACATTATATATTTATATGAATACTCTTCTTCCCCTATACATTATTTCTTATATGCAAAAATGATTGATTTCTACCAGTGTTGTTTTTCTTGCTTTCTTTCTTTCTTTCTAATCTCTCCCTCTCTCTTTCTTGCTCGCCAGCAAACTTACAAACTGTCCCATTCTGACAACACATTTTTTTTTTTTAATTTACCCTGTCGCTCTGACACATCCTGTTGGACAAAATTCACATAGATAACATTTCTACAGCAACGTGATTCCAAGGTAAATAATTAATGCTCATGGCTGTGTTCACACCTGCGCAGGTCAGAACAGGAAGTTTCTAAAAATAGAAAATAGCATTCTCTTAACCCAATAGCTTTTTAAAAGCCATAGCAACATCATATTGTACTCATAGCCTCAGTGATAGAGGTCAAGGGGTCACAGCGAGAGTCACCTGACACATATTTTTAGGCCCTATGGGAATGTTTTCCATTAAATGCTTCACTCTGCTCATGTTTACTGATTATTACTCACTTTATTTACCTTCATATATTTAAGATGGAAAAGGAAAAACTAGGTTTTTTTTTATATTTTTATTTGTTAGTGACCTGTGTAAAACAGTTGTTTCTAGGGATTTCTTGGGGAACTCCCACAGATTTATGATCTAGTTGTTGCATTCTCTGGGCTCAATTCTAAGAAGACATGTTCACCTTGTTAGCCGAGTTGAGCAGCGTCAGGACATCTCCTTTCTTCATGGACACTTCCCGGGGAGATTTCTCTGTGTAGTCGTAGACAGCCACCACCTTCTCTGTACCAATGTCATCTATCACTGGAGCCTCTTGTTGCTGGAAGACATACATTAGATCATTGTATCATCACATTTTGTTGCCAGAGATAGCTGTGTGGGAGCCTATTCTGGGGGAGCCAAGAACATACCCACTGAGCCCCTAACAAGCATGTCGGAATAGTGGACTAATAAAGGGTTTTTCTTTGAATCCGAAAGTGCATCTGCCTGGTAAGTGAAAAACTAACAGTCTGCATTTACAAAACAAACAAAAGAAGCCAGAGCTGTAAAGCTGATGTGCACATTCAAAATAAGTCCTGGAACAAGACCAAAGTTCAGAAGTGGACAAACAAGAAGAACTTTCTGCTGGAATTTACAGCCGTTGACTGCTAAGAAAACAAAGAAGACCGCCAAAGAGAGGTGAACTAATAATTTACAATTTTCTAAAACTTTATCTAAGCAAAAAAGTAAACAGAGTCAATTCTAGGGACACACACACACAAAAAGCCAGAGTGGTTCATCACGTAGCATCAGCTACCTTTGTCGACATAACACCTCTACCCACAACAGATATGCAGATAATTACAAGATCATGTTTTTTCGATAGTTTTCAAATACAAACATTACAAGATTTTGTATCCAGTTTCCACAGACACATTTTACAAGATCATTGCCGGACACATGTCACTGGATCATGTTCTGTCCAGTTTTCACAAACAAATGTTACAAAAATCATGTTCTGTCGAGTTTTCAAATACAAACATTACAAGATGTTTTATCTAGTTTCCACAGACACATTTTACAAGATCATTGTCAGACACATGTCAATGGATCATGTTCTGTCCAGTTTTCACAGAAAAAATTTACAAGAACATTGTCAAGACACATGTCACTGGATCATGTTCTGTCCAGTTTTCACAGAAAAAATTGACAAGAACATTGTCACACGTGTCACTGGATCATGTTCTGTCCAGTTTTCACTTCACATTTTACAAGATGTTTTATCTAGTTTCCACAGACACATTTAACAAGATCACTGTCAGACACATGTCAGTGGATCACGTTCTGTCCAGTTTTCCAAGATAAAGGCAACAAGTTTATATATGTAATTACCTTACAGGCTTGTGCCTGCTCCCTCAAGTCCTCAATCACACTTCTGTATGCCTCCAGATCTGCCATGAAAGCCTCATGTTTCTTCAACAAAGCCTGCAAAGAACAAATACATTATTCAAAAACAGACCACAAAAAAGACCGCCAACTATCATTTCCAATCAAACAGACAAGGTGATATGGATTACCAAATTTATTCTTTTTCTCCTGTACTCAACCTTAGAAAGGAGGTTGGCATGTTGTGTTGTGGTTTACAGTTGGGCTGCAATATCTGTGCTTTTTGGCAAAACAAGTCCAAATGTCAGCAAATATTTGTTAGAATGATTAAACATAATAAGGCAACTTGAAAAGCCTGATGAAGGGAAACACAGACAACAAGCATAAATTTTGACCAAAATTTATCAAAGAACCAAATAAAACAGGAATATTCTAATAAAGAAACAATAAAAACAGTTCTAATAATGGTACAACACACATAATAATAATTTGATTTGTATGAACTGGAAAGTGAAAAGTCAAAATGGGAAGAGAGATTTAAACCCCCCCCCCCCCCCCCCCTCAACCACACACAAAACAAAATATATCCATAATAGATAGATAAAAGAACACTGAATATTCATCAAAAAGACCCAAGCAATGAATATGACCATGCTCCAAGGAAAGAGCATTGCAATCCCCTAAACAGACACTCCAATCCAATGGGCATGCCACATCAACTCACCTCAGCTGAATCTTCATCCTTGCCGTAATCAGTATTTGCGGCAATTGGTTCCTTCTCTCTCATCCAGGACTCTGCCTCGTTAGCATCAGCAAAGTACTGCTGTGCCTGCAGTGAATCCTCCAAGTCTTGCTTCCGCTGTTGAGCCTTGTCCTAAATACATTTTTAAAGACATTCAAAATAATATTTTTTTCTATTGGAAAATAAACAAACACAAAATATACTGCATAATTTATTGCCTCGTACATTTCATTGCAGCTCATCAGGGGCTACCTGCAGAATTTACATCAGAACAGGGTTGAGAATGGGCACCAAGTGGTTTTGGAATATCTAGTATTCAGCCATTAGAAAAGAAGGGAGGGGCTTGTGGCAAGTTTAAACTCCATTCATTAGCTCAATGCATTTCACTTTAAGTTGCCATCAAACAAAATTTATCCTCCTGAAAACCCACAACTACATAAAGGATCATTGCAGATCCTTAAGGTAACAGTTTAGGAGGCTGTGTGGTCTCGAGGCATGGTGTCCGCCTCGAGTGCTGGAAGTTCCGGGTTCAATCCTTGGTAAGAGCTGTGATTTTTTCATGTGGACTTGGACTTCTAGTAATTCCCCCTGGTCTCTGGGTCCTGAGATCGGACGCTCGTGTGCATTGTTGCGCATGTAAAAAATCCCTTGGCGGTTGGAAATCGAAAAGAGTAGCCCATCGGCACTGCCAGGGCAAAATTAGGAGTTTAAAATCTACCCAGAGTATTTCAGGATCTTTGCCGGTGCTACAGAGCCTGTGCACTGTGCTGAGCTTCTTCGGACTCAGGCTTGAGTTAGAAGAAGAACCGAGCACTTAGGGTTACTACCCATGTGCCATGATGTTGGTCCATTGTTCAAACCTCAAGGTAACAGTTTCGTAAGCAGTGGGAAAGTTTGGCGCCGATACCCAACTTTGGTGTTGTTTTTTAAAAACAAAATTGGGTTACCACAGTAACTGAACGTTACACTGAGATGCTAAACATTTTCTTCCATCCTAAGGAATTATGTTGATTTCAAAAACACTTGGTTCCAGTGCTCCACCCTGTATAATGAAGCACAATAACTAATCCTTCAAACTAAATACATAAATTACATAGTCCATTGTTATGAACACGGTTGTCTCAGATTAAACAAGTGATCCTTTTCTTTACAGTATGCTGACTGCCCATCCCAATTCCAACCCCGTCACAAATTTCAAAACGGAGTGTGTGAATAAAAAAAGATGTCAATTTAAACCAAGTCTTTGAGTTCAAATATTTATGGAGCATTTATACAGGGGAGACAACTCTGCAGAGTGATAAAAATAAAATGCCCAAATACAAACACTGCCAGTTTCAAAACAGACATCTCAGAATTAAAATCTAAATTGGCAGACAGCATTTTTACATGACAGAGGCTGAATGCGGTCAATATCGAGGCATCTCTCTTTTAAGCCATGTTGGCAAAATGTATGCCAAGATAATAGAAACAAGACTGAGACCAGTGATAGAACCACAGCTGGCAGAAGAACAGATGGGATTTAGGAGAAATAGAAGCTGCACAGATGCAATCTTCACACTTAAACAGTTAATAGAAAAGAACATTGAATACAATAAGAACTTATTTGTGGCATTCATAGACCAGGAGAAGGCATTTGACAGAGTCGACAGACAATTATTATGGAAAATAATGGCAAGATATGGAGTAAGCGAACACCTCATCGAAGTGTGCAAAAGTTTATACAGGGATTGTAGAAGTGTAGTTAGAATAAATCAGGGAACATCTAATCCTTTCACAGTGACATCTGGAGTAAGACAGGGGTGTGTCCTTATGTGTCTTTATCACCTACATCTGCTATTTGCAAGATCACCATGAATACATAGTAAGATCACGTATTTGCAGATGACCATGCCTTGATAGCAGATACAGCCATGAATGCAAAACATCTAACATCCATGAATGAAGAATGTAAAACAAATAAACGAATCAACACTGAAAAGACAGAAGATGTCAATAGGAAAAAAGGACAGATCTTAGCAATAGAATACAAAGCATTAAACAGCATCTGAGTTTGAAATCTGGGAACAACATTTACGGAAGATGGGAACATCCATGAATTGAAGAATGTAAAACACCAATAATATACAGAGACAATCCCAATCAACACTCAAAGAATTTATAGACACCATTGCCAGACATGGCAATAGGAAAAAATGTCTGAGAAAGAGTGACCATAAGAGATAACAGAGAATCTATACAGACAGCAAGTGAAATAGCCCACTTAGAGAAATGCCTTGTGACACCATACCATAATACAAAGGCATTAAACAGGCGAACAAGGAACAAGTTCATTGTAGCAGGTTTTATCCCATATGGTGTGGTCTCTCTCCGCAGAATAGAAGACAGAAGGCAATATAGAGAGAAATAAACAGGACACCAGCAGGTAATCACTATTCAAGACTTTCCAGAGAATAAAAGCAGGTCTTACAGTAAATGCTGCCTCAAAAAATGCAGGATTGCTTTTAGGAAAATATTTTATTACTATAATAAATTATTTCCAGATATAATCGCTACATTAATTAGTGTATAAAATTCTACATTCAATCAAATACAGTCATGTCATCTACTTCTGGAACATCGCTACAACTCTCCAAATCCCTAATGCTGGCCTGAATTTCTTGCAACTCCATTTTCTGCAGCTATAGGTCTCTCACTCTAGCTGATAATCTTAACCAGGGCTTATATGAAAATTATCTTGGAAAAATCATGCTACGGTCTATTGGGGAGGGGGGTGGGGGGGGGGGGGGGGGGGGTTTAATGGCGTATTCTCGTGGAAACACTAGGCAGTATCAGTTAACACACTCAGCCAAAACATATGATGATTCAGATGTCAGATAACAATTGTCTTGTGACACTTTGCTGGCTAAATAAATGATCAAATATGAGGTGAAATGATGGCAGAAGACTGGTCTTAGTTTTCTGATGAGACAAAGTGGGGAAAGCTGATGTCAGAACTCACGAGCTTATTTCAACCAGAGACAAGAAATCAATTGGCTAGGTGATGTTCAGCAGATGATCAGCCACTCTGCAGAAGGAGACTGATCCAGGTAGGATAAGCATGGTTGAAATGCGTCCACCTAGTGAAATGACATCCACCTAGTGAAATGACGTCCACCTAGTGAAATGTCGTCCACCTAGTGAAATGTCGTCCACCTAGTGAAATGTCATCCACCTAGTGAAATGCCGTCCACCTAGTGAAATGCCGTCCACCTAGTGAAATGCCGCCCACCTAGTGAAATGCCGCCCACCTAGTGAAATGCCGCCCACCTAGTGAAATGCCGCCCACCTAGTGAAATGCCGCCCACCTAGTGAAATGACGTCCACCAATTGAAATGACGTCCACCTAGTGAAATGACGTCCACCTAGTGAAATGACGTCCACCTAGTGAAATGACGTCCACCTAGTGAAATGTCGTCCACCTAGTGAAATGCCGTCCACCTAGTGAAATGACGCCCACCTAGTGAAATGACGCCCACCTAGTGAAATGACGCCCACCTAGTGAAATGACGCCCACCTAGTGAAATGACGTCCACCTAGTGAAATGACGTCCACCTAGTGAAATGACGTCCACCTAGTGAAATGACGTCCACCTAGTGAAATGATGTCCACCTAGTGAAATGACGTCCACCTAGTGAAATGACATCCACCTAGTGAAATGACGTCAGCCTAGTGAAACGATGTCAAACCACTCTTTCTTAATCACTTTTAGTTAGTTAATCTTTCCCTTTGGGTCTAAGGTGGCGCATAAAGCAGAGGTCATAGCTCTCCATGGTGGTTTGTTGCCACCTGCTTTTATTTTATTAATCACCTTTACAAATAATAGAAGCAGTAGATATTCATCACCACACAAACAGATGAATAAAACTTAAGAAAGAAAAAATTTACCTTCAGAGCCTGCCATTTGTTACCTCACAAACCTGAATATCCTGGACAGTAAATCTAAGATATGTTCTTGATCTGGGTAGGGACCTATCTTTGGCTTCAGCAGATCTGCTGGCTGACTATATTTTATAAAATAGTAAATTAGTTTTCTATCCTTCCAGGATAAGGCTGAAAACCTTGTGTGCATGTTAAAAATCAAAAGGCAGTTGCAAATCAAAGAGCAGACAAACTGGCAGCTAGCTAGGCTAAATCAGAAGGCATTTTAGCTGAAATATCTTACTTCTTAATGGTCTGTGTTTGACCTTAAAAGAGCGGCTGGTACAATGTGCTGCGATTTACTGCCAGGCTGCAATATCTGGACTTTTCAGCCTAACATATCTAATGTTTTCACATATTTAATTAGTCGTCTTTCAGGACATGCTTTCTCTGTTATTTTTTAGTTCTGGCCTTGCCTACAACTTTTCTGGCTTTTGTTCAATTCCTGTATTCACAAGTGTATTGGGACATTAGCTGCATGTCCAGACAGACATGTGGATTTGTCTCACCGACACCTCAGATAAGTGATTTTTGTGTATTCTTGTTTGCAACTGTAACAATGTCTATGTCAATGTCATGTGCTGATGAAGGCTTTAAGGCCAAAATGTTTACTTGCTGTGTGTTACTATGATAATGTGAAGCTGACTTTCTAGTTCTTTCCATCCGGTTTGATATGTTTTCACGCAAGGCAGGAAGCTGTGGGCAAACAACACCACTCTGCATGAGCAAAACAGAAAACAAAATGCAGTCCACTTCTAGTTTTCTTTTTTTTTCTTAGCGTTCACCGGCTGCAAACCTCAGCAGAAAGTTCTGGTTGTTCATGAATTCCTGAGCTCATTCGTTTTCCAGAACTTGCGTTTTGCATGCACATCCTTTTGCAGATCCGCTTATTTGTATGCAGACTGTTTGTTCCTTGTTCTCATGCAGATGCACTTCGACGGAAAACCTCTAACTAATCAAATATTATATGTCATGCTTGTTAGTTCTATTCTCCCCCCCCCCCACCCCCACACAATGCAGCCCAGACTTCCAGTTAAAATGGACGCTAGACAGCGGCGCTGTTCGGAGCGGAGGCAAATTTTTTGCTTCTGCCGGATGGTGGCCGAAGTATTTTTGCTCCATTTGTAGACTGGATATAGTTTTGTCGCCCAGCTTCTGAGTTGAATGCATGGAGTGACCCTGTGAGCTGCGGATTGCATTTGGAATGTTTTTTCGACTGTGACCAACGTGGTGTGAATTGGAGATTCAGAAAATGGCGTGATGCCGGTCGTCAATGTTGGCGGTGCCCGGATGTGATTACAATTGATCGCGTGGGCAACTGCTGATCTGTTGGTGACTTCTGCTACCATCAATGATGAACTGCATTTCTAATGTTGGACTGTTTGTGCTAGCACTTTGGATGGCTACCATATGCTTTAATGCGAGTGTATGCTAGATATGCTGAGACAGCAGTCTGTCAATCTTTCCACAAGGGACTGTGATAAACATGCTGAGTGTTTTTTCGTTGGCACAGGAGCGGAGCAAAGATGGGGCGACCCGTTTGCTATGAAGCTGAAACTAAGACTACCAGACTACCAGACTACCAAATGCAGCCCAGAAACCTGGTCAATAAAAGAGGACTTTCCCCACTCGTGTCTTTAGGTAGACGAGCCCCTGGGTTTAGCCACTCACCTCTATTGGTGGAGGAAGCAATCGGTTCCTTCTCCCGGATCCAATCCTCCTCATCCTCAACATCGCGCAGGAACTGCTGAAGAGTGAGAGCCTCGTTTAGCTTCTGTTTACGCTGAGTTATTGGAGCCTGTGATTAAACAGATAAACAGGTAAAGAGTTAAACAGGGTAACTGCCCAACAGGAAGTCAGTCAGTCGAGGAAGTTGGTTACACCAGTGGTGTATCAGGCATGTGATAGTGGACTAACATTTATGTAGCCCAATGGACACTTGGTTGGTGGTGGTGATAACACCACACCAGCTGCCTTTACTTCCCCAAACATTTCCCAGTAATCAACAAGCAAAGCACACACACCAAAAAAACAAAAAAATCACTCCTCTAGGTCAGTGGTTTTCAACCTTTTTGCCCCCCCCCCCCTTTTTTTCCCCAGTGGGGCCATGGAACCCACATAACGGATATGAAAGTAACTATTAGCTTTTAGTTTAGTAAAAACCTAGAACAGAAGATGACAAGAGAGGAGCAGAAGAACAAGGATGCTAAGGAGCTGAGAAGAAGACACAAAAGCAGGAGGAGGAGGAGCTGAAGCAGGAGGAAAAAGCAGAAGAAGGATAAGGAGGAGAAGGAAGAAGAGTAGGATCACAATGAGTTATAATTTATTTTACAGACATACCAACACATCAGCTGAAAATTGAAAAACATCACGATGACTATAAATAAACTATAGTTTTCTACGAAGACTGACCATTAGTTTCCTGTATCTTTCTACCACTTCCTGGTGTTTGTCCCGGATGTTGTCTTTGTCGAAATGGTCACCATTCTGAAAGAGAGTGGCCTGAGCCTGCAGCTGGTCCAATCGGTCCTGCCAACAAATTGTATATGTTAATTTCTTAAGCTATTTACATAAAACAGGGTCAGTTCATTGAATTCATTTATCTCATTCGTTCTTTCAGTTTGGTTCATTAGACCTCTTAACTATTTCAACACAGTGAGGTTTTAATTAGGTTTTCAAAAACATTTATGATCCAATATTGTGGACAGAGCGGCGTCCGTGGCTAAGGCGTTGCGAGTCCGACTCGTGAGCCAGCATACCGCGATCGAAACCCACTGCAGGCTGCGTGGATTTTTGTCGTGGTATGGGACGTCGCAGGTCTACCCAGCCTAAAATGGGTACCAGGATGGGCTGTCCTGGGAAAGTAAAGACAGCCGGCGTAATGCTGACCACATTACCCACAGAGCTGATGGTCTGTAAAAATATGGGACGCTCTGCCCATATGCCCGATGCGCCGAAAGGCGTGAAAAGTGATCTTTACTTTTTTTAACTATTGTGGACAGATGGGCAGTCCTTTAGAGTCTGGAAGTGTTGCTTCTGCCCAGTTTGTTGAATCAATTTTAACCCGTGCAGTCCACTGGTTTATTGCCAAAGCTACTGAGTTTAGTGTTTGATGCAGCAAAGTGAGCTGTGGAGTGCCTTTAGTTTGTGCCTGCAGCGATTTGTGTTGTGTTATATTCAGAAACCTGCTGGTGACAGGTTTGGGTTGACTAAGTGCCTTTTGCAATAATTTTGCTTGTATGCAGCCAACCTGTCAAAACTGACTACTTTCATCAACAACAAACTGCAATACTAGCGGTGACTGATGATGCTGGCATTCCTGAATGCTATATGCAATAATTGTGCCTGTGTGCGGCCAGCTTATCGTGACTGACTACTTCCATCAACAACACTTCAAGCAGCTTACTTAAACAACTTCAGCATTCCTAGATTTTGCCATAACAAACTGTTTGTTTGGTAGTCCTCAAATGGCACACTGAAAAACATTTTGTGAGCTTTTCACTAGCAACAGAATGAAGCAGTTATGTCTGCAGGATTAGGTACAAGGTTTTTAAATTTTTTTTTTTTTAATCTAGATTTCCTAGTTCTACGAAAGCTTCTTATGTCTTCTGAGGGCTAAACTTTGCTTTACTAAGAATGGAAAATGATCTTACTTGATGTGCCAAAACATCTGCCTCAATGAGAGCATGCCTCTTCTGCAGATTCTGGACATTGGTCAAGTCCTGACAAAAATGAAGAAAACAGAAGGTCAATGGAAGCCTATATGTACCATACTGGATAAACAAACAAAAGGACATGGTTTAAAGCTTTATAACAAACATGAAGTACATGCACAAAGGCTGCTTGCATTCTTACAGGGAAAAAACAAAAACAGTGTGTTTAAAACACTCTTCTTCTTTGCCATACACCTTCAGAGTAAAGTACAGGACCCTCCTCCAAGCCTTTGAGTTTATTGGGCATACAGGGTTAGACCTAAATATATCGGCACGCAGTGGATGATATGATCACCATCACGTCTGCTGGTTTTACTTCTCAGAATGTTACCTGGTACCCATTTACGGCTGGGTCAACCTACGAGACAAGGACTTTTTTTTTTAAAAGCCTGGTTCTATCAGGCCCTGAACCTACGACCTTCTGATCCGCAGGGGGGTATTTATTCCCCCAGCTGACACGTGTAGGCATTCTGCTGAGAAACCACCGATCCGGCTGCTTCGAGGTACCAGCAAAGTGATTTTGTGTAGTATTGTTTGATTTGTATGTGCTGATGAAGGCTCCATAGCCGCAACGTTCACGTTTTTTATTTGTTATATTGAGAAGCTTGCTAATATACTTTTCGTTCGGTTTTATATCTTGTCTTGATATTAGTTATTTTAAAGCTCCCACTCCAGCTGTTGACAGGGCTCTAATATAACCTAACGGCTGAACAGGTTTCTTGGACCATCTGAATAGTGGCACTTTGTGGAACCAGGTGTTTATTGCTCATAGTAGAACTTCACTCATTCATATCTAGTTCTTCTTCTTCTGCCTTCTATCCCCCTATGGAGCATAGGACCTCAAGCAACAGGTGAAGTCATCCTAAACTTCACTATCGCTGACAGCACACCCTATGTCCTCCCTATCTTTTCAACTTCACTACGTAGCTCTATTCTCCATGTATTTTTCGGTCTGCATCTATCTCTAGAGTACTTTGGGTGTCAGTGCAAAACATTCTAATTATACTGTTTTCAGGTTTCTCAGTGTGTCCAACCCAATGCCAGTGTCTTTTCTTCACCTCCTGATTTAGCAGAATTTGTTTAGTTACAGTTAAAAAATAGTAATTTTATCACATCATTTAATGCCAGCTATTATGTGCAGGTTAATGAATATTTGTAGTTTAGTAGTAATTGTTTTAGTTGTTCTCCTCATGCACCTTTGTACCTAATAAACTTTTACTAAACTATAACTGAACAATAAACAAATATATTGTTTAATGTATGAGTCCCAAAGCAATGAAGACAACATGTCCTTTAATATTCAGCACAAACGTGCCGGATTCATTCAGACAGCACACCACCCAAATATCTCACACACAGTTATAATGTTGTCTAAGATAAGCAGGAACCGTTTGGAAGGATACTATGCTCCCTGAAAACTTAACGTTATGGCAGGCCAGACCAGGTCCTTCATCTGTTTGACAGCTGGTCTAGAAATAAAGCTTTGAAAGATTGGAGGACTGCCCTTCTGATCCGGTAGCTTTGTGGCTTGCTTTCTCATAAAAGTGTCAGTGTTATCTTTGCAGTAAACAAGGTTGGCCGAGAAAGGGATTATCTGCATGGGCAACACATGGTCTCTGCCATACTGCCCAGTCTGTGTACACTGGAAGGGAAGAACTTCATCCTTGGCCTTAACAGGCATCGCTATGGACTGCTGTCTCTTATACCTCCCACAGCATAATAGAACACTAACCTACGCAATGACGGAAAGGCGGCAACAACAAACATGAGACAAGAATCATCAAGTCATGCTTAACACAGTAGTAAAACAGCTGTGAAACAAAACTAATCCTCTTCAAGATAGAAAAGAATTGTAAATGTACAGTCCAGTAGTTCCCCTGCTAGCATGCAGCGACACTAAGTAGTAAAACAGACTGCTTAACGACAGAAGTCAGTGAAAACAAAACATGCACACAGACAGCCTCTCTTGAATTACACATTTGTCAGGCTGCTATATGCCATGATTCACTGATGAATGATTTCAGCATCTACAGCAAGTGTTCTTTAGGCTTGGATATAAAGATTTTAAAAATTGTACAAGACAAATATGAACAAAACTGAATTTTTTTTTTGTTAATCTTATTTTTTTTTTTTTTTTTATCTTTGTTGTGTTGCCTAGTTGGGTTTCTGGCAAAGTGCCCTTTACTTTACAAGCTAGAAGCCATAAATTCATGACATCCTTAACTTAGCCAAAACCAGCAAAATCTACAATTGCTTCCTCATAGCTACCCAGGCATTCATGCTTCTATAAACCATACATTCATGTAAAACTTCACAGCTGCAGTTCTAACTGAAGTGACCACATATGTATTCAAGAACTTCACTACTGATATTAGCAGATATCACCAGCTGTTCTGAAGTAAACATATTTTGTGGATACATATGACGTAAATGTGGATCAACATACCATAGTATCCTTAATAAGATATGTGACGCTGTGCTGTTATACGTTTTTATGACAATATATCTGATATAAAACTGTGCAATTGGTTAAGTACATCAGCATGCTTCAGCCCACCCAGTGAATCAGTGTGATTAGTGGTTCAGCATGCAATATGTGTAGGGTTTGTGTTCAGATACAAGTTCTCAACATACACCAGGGAAGGGGTGAGGGGGTGGAGACAGACAGACAAGGCACGCACTTGCATGGACTGCTGGGTTGACCTGAAACCCTAGGTTCTTAATAAATCTGATGGGGTTCTGAATCTGTGACTGATGGGGTTCTGAATCTGTGACTGATGGGGTTCTGAATCTGTGACTGATGGGGTTCTGAATCTGTGACTGATGGGGTTCTGAATCTGTGACTGATGGGGTTCTGAATCTGTGACTGATGGGGTTCTGAATCTGTGTCTGACAGGGTTCTGAATCTGTGACTGATGGGGTTCTGAATCTGTGTCTGATGGGGTTCTGAATCTGTGACTGATGGGGTTCTGAATCTGTGACTGATGGGGTTCTGAATCTGTGACTGATGGGGTTCTGAATTTGTGTCTGATGAGGTTCTGAATCTGTGACTGATGGGGTTCTGAATCTGTGACTGATGGGGTTCTGAATCTGTGACTGATGGGGTTCTGAATTTGTGTCTGATGAGGTTCTGAATCTGTGACTGATGGGGTTCTGAATCTGTGACTGATGGGGTTCTGAATCTGTGACTGATGGGGTTCCGAATCTGTGTCTGACGGGGTTCTGAATCTGTGTCTGATGGGGTTCTGAATCTGTGTCTGATGGCGTTCTGAATCTGTGACTCATGGGGTTCTGAATCTGTGACTCATGGGGTTCTGAATCTGTGTCTGATGGGGTTCTGAATCTGTGTCTGATGGGGTGCAGGCTCACAAACAAAAATGTCAGCTATCATGTGGCAACTCCCAGGTCAAATATTTAATATACAGATGTTGGAAGTCAAAGGGACTTAATGTGAACATAAAACCCAGATTATACAGCAATAATTTTGAGGAATACTATTATACAATACCAGGTATTAGAACATGACAATAGGAATTACAGATAAACTATAGGCTTGTCAAACTCAATGTCTAATGAGAATCCTGCCAATATTTTGGCTAACAACAACAAAAATGATCAAACGTGAACAAGGAAGGAATAAAACAAAATGCTCATCATTGGCAAGCTGTATCAAATGAAGAAGATGGAGATGACATGTTTGCAGAATGTCTTGTGACGACAAGCTTTATCAAAGAAGATGGAGATGTCATGTTTGCAGAATGTCTTGTGACGACAAGCTTTATCAAAGAAGATGGAGATGGCATGTTTGCAGAATGTCTTGTGACGACAAGCTTTATCAAAGAAGATGGAGATGTCATGTTTGCAGAATGTCTTGTGACGACAAGCTTTATCAAAGAAGATGGAGCTGGCATGTTTGCAGAATGTCTTGTGACACTTTTACAAGGACAACTCTCCGGTGGATGGCAGTTGGAAAAGAGTAGACATGGACAACATTAGAGAACTTAAGAGAAAGATGGTAGAAAGGGAAATGAAGGAATACAAAATGGCATGGGATACCCCAGGCAGAAAAGCAGCAGAGCAGCAGCAATGAAGATCACCTGTGAACGTCTAGAGTGTCAACAGTGACAGAAGAAGATACAGACAGACACACAGCTGTTAATTATATATTTAAATTTACAGAGCAAACCCAGATGTTTTGAAAGAGACAAGGACCAGAACACAACTTAGCACAAACATCAGCCAGGAGACAGGAAAGATCTGTGGAAAAAGAGATGGAGGAAGACAACATGAGAAGATTCCTGGCAGTCTTTCATCACAACATGGAGGGATGTCAGCACATGAAGTGACACATGCAGCTGAAGACTGCAGATTGTGGAGAGGTATGATCGTCCACACAAGTCGACAAGGCACTTGATGACAATGATAGCTGAGGTGTGAAAGATCAGAGAAACACAAATTAGCCCAATTCTTAACTAGAAATTAGCTAGATATGGACACCGTAAGTAAACATATGCCAGTGAAATCTGGAGAACCACCAAAGTTAACTGCACTAAAAAACAAATGCCTGAAGACAATTATGAACATAAAATGGGATAAATGTGAGAGCAGTGAAGAAGAAATGTCTGGGCAACAATTAGTTTCAACATTTCAGTCATTAGGACAAAGAAGACGGTGCTGTATTGGACACTTCCTGAGAAGTAATGGACAGAGAATAATCAAACAGGCACTGAAATGGAAAACAGACGGACTGAGAAATCCTAAGGTGGATGCTGATAAGAGATGTTAAAGGTGCTGGAATGGATTCCATCCATAATACTGAAGTGATTGCATAGGACAGAATGGAATTGAGAAATAAACTGTGAGCCCGATGTGACAGATAATGGTATAACAGGACAATGAATGAATGAATGTTTTCTGATGACTAGTAGGTTCCTGTTGTATATGCTCACACCATGGAGTATTATTACCTTCTTAAACCACTGAAAATAAATATATCAATCTGTGTGTTC